TGTGATGAATGCAGGGAAACTTAGGACTTTTAAAGTCATGTTTGGGTTATCCTAAAATTCAGTGCCAAATTTGAATTTTGTTATTTAGTAAGGAGCAAGTAGCATTTCCAAAACTTTAAAAAGTATTTTGGTAAATGATATTTGCCATTAGAGTGAATAAATGGAGAATTTTCTACCCAAGTTCTAAGGAACTAGGTAATTCTTCCCTTTATTTTGCACATTCCTCTTAATAAAGTCAAATAGTGGATTTCTGGTGGGGGAAATCACCCTCTTATTCCTCAAATTATTTCTGCTTAAAAATACTTTTATCCTAGATTGTTAGCGTGTCATTATGTTCTTTTTCATGGAGATCACATTTATGAGATATAAGTAATAGGATTAGATAATGTGGAAGGTGAGAGATTTTGATAGAGTTCCCTCTGTTTTGTTTAATCTTAGTGTTTCAGCTTACTGTATATTGATCATAATTCTATGACTATTTAACAAAACCCCCAAATTATCTAAATTTAACCTCTGCAGCTATTTATTCTTTGCAGATAAGAAATATATTCAGAAAACTGGTTATCATGACGTAGGTCTCCTTTCTTTCAAATTCTTAGGTCCAGCAGTAATATCAGTGCTTGCATTATTGTGGGAAATTCTGAAACAGTTCTTGAATGAAGAGCATGTATGCATTTCATTGTTCTTTCACCTCTTTGCTTGATATTCCTGCTCGTATTAAAGTTGGATAGTATACGGTGAAACTACAAAAATTGTGTTCAACAATTGAACTTATCTCTCTAGCTGAAACTGTTACAGTTGATGAGTATGACTGCCAAAAATAGTACAGGGGTGGGCATTTAGCTGCTCTACATCATATAACAAATGTTCCGCTTAAGGGGATTTATGATAGAAATTAAAGTGGAAATGCTTTTGAACTGAGTTTTTTACTCTCAAATTGTTTTGTTGTTGTTTTTTATTTTAATCATTATGGATACTTAAAGGCAATTACAAAGGAAAAAATCTCAACTCTCAATTCATTATTTTGTCAACTGTATGTGAAATATCTTCTGAGTTTTACATATATTTTGACTGTCTTGTGTTTAAGTACAAATGTCTAGAAAAAATTCAGTTCTCTGTGAAGATTATAGGAAGTGTATTGTATATTGAACTAGTTCTTTGTGTTATTTTGATATTTAAAATAAATATGATTCTTTGGTCCTAATAAAGTATATGTAGATTTTGTTGAACACATTTGCATAGTATGGAAACACTGTGTTCTGCTTACTTATACCTCCTTAAATGAATGCGGAGGCTGAAAAGCTGACTCCACATGCTTTGCATTCAGGGGACTTGGGTAACACATGGACTCCTGATCACCACCAGGAGCAATTTCTGAGCACTTCTGGGTGTGACCCTCTAAAACTGAAAAGACAGAAAAGAAAAAAGCAACAACTATGAACAAAGGGAAAGCAAATATTTAGTGGCACATTAAAGTTCATTTCTTGGGGCTAGAGCGATAGTACAGCGGGTAGAGCATTTGCCTTGTATGTGGCCGACCTAGGTTCGATCCCTTGCATCCCGTATGGTCCTCCAAGCACCACCAGGAGTAGTTCCTGAGTGCAGAGCCAGGAGAAATCCCTGAGCATCACTGGGCATGACCTAAAAAGCAAAAAAAAAATTTTTTTTCTCAAAAGTTAAATATTTTTGAGGTTTTAATAGATGGATAAACAAGCTAAAGATTTATATGACTTATTTGTAAGCAGGTATTTTAGAAGTGTGGTATGGGCAAATGCCATGTTATACTAGGATCACTCCTGCTACCCCTCATTCTCAGAACTACACATTCTATTATGAAAGTGACTTTTTATCAGTTTCAGGTACAAGCTATAAAACCTTATAGGTCCTCAACCCTGCAAACAGGTACTCTATCCAATTCCATAAATCAGGCTTCAGTAGCTGCTCTTCTGTATAAGAAGTACAATAAATTTACGGACATGGGCTCATTTCTGCAAATACTTAGAATCTTCTCATTGGAAATAATATTTAGGATATAAGTTACCTAATGCTACACAACAGATTATTTCACACTAGGCTTAGAACAGAAGCAGATGTTTATTCACTTGCAGTATCCATAGTTCAGGAATACTGGTGTAGCTTAGCAGGTGGTTCTGGCGCTAAATCTCATGAGGTTCAAGTCAAACTACCTCAGTAAGGGTACAATAATTAGGGCTTTAGTCTCCAGAAGAGGGAAACCCACTCATGAGTCTGTTGAGCCTCTCTATAGCTCTGTCTCGTTATACAGCTTCCTCCTGTCCTGCCAAAAGAAACAAACACAAAATGAGAATATAAACAGACTGTAGGTTTCTGCTCTTCCTAACCTAATCTAGGAAGAAGTGATACTGCATTATCTCCACCACTGCGCCAGTATATGTATTCAACACCCACAAATCAAGCTTTCACTCTTGAATAGAGGGGTAGTAAAGAATTGTTGAGGCTGGAGAAATAAGAGTAGGACACTTGCGTTGCAGCAATGTAGGTTTTGATACCCAGCACCACATTATTTACTGTCCTCTGAGACCTGTCAGGAGTGATCCCTGAGCTTCACTAGGTTTCGCCCAAAAACAAACCAAGAAAAAATTTGGGATGTTTGTTTTGAAAACTATTGTAGTAATTCTATCTAGAGAAAGCATTCTCTGAGATCATGGGTAAGTACAATAACCTATCCTACAAAAGTGCATCTATCCGAAAGAGGAAAAGCAATTTTGTTTGTAAGCGCTCTATAGTTGCCAGGTAAAACCATTAATAATCTTATAACTATTAATTGCTGGCATAGCAACTGTGTCACAGTCACATGATTTGTGGATGAATTGTTCTGATCATTTCATCTCATTACTTGTCAAACATGAACCCTCCATTCAGAGTCCAACCTAAGAGTCCAGTGACTAAGGCTACTTTTTAAAGGGTTACAAAGGAAACTGTGATGCAGCCCAGTTTAGTGTAAACCTAGGAAAGTTGTTTTTTGTTTTTTTTTTTTTTTTTTGCTATTTGCAAAGAGGTGACCAGGATCTAGCAATAGTGTATATAGATAAGAGAGATAACAAACCCTAGCCGTGAAGGACTCAGGAGAGACCCAGAAGGCAGCTCTTTAGGTGGAGTTATGTTGTGATATAGCCAGCTAGACCCAAGGACTGTGGTTGTCAGAAGTACCCTTACCTTCCACCTGCCTTGGTGATGCTTTGTGTAGCTAACCAGAAGCCACCAAGTGAGGAAGAAGAAAATTGCTGTAGCAAACAGAATACAGTTGAGCATTCCACAGCAAAAAGCAAGTTTTAAAAGACTAGAGAGGGGAAATGAACTATACAATGGCTATAAAGGGCCTGGAGCGATAGCACAGCAGGTAGGGCATTTTTGCCTTGCACGTGGCCAACCCGGGTTTGATTCCCAGCATCCAATTCCCAGCATCCCCAGAGCACTACCAGGAGTAACCCCTGTGCACCGCCAGATGTGACCCAAAAAGTCACTGTCACTGTCACTGTTCTCCCATTGTTCATTGATTTGCTTGAGCGGGTCCAGTAACATTGTGAGACTTGTTACTGTGTTTGGCATATCAAATACATCAAGAAGAAGAAGAAGAATTAAAAAATAAAATGGCTATAAAAATAGCCATTACAGTTTTTTTTTTATTTAACTGTGCTATTCACTTTGGTTTATGAAGGAGAGAAGGTAGAAACAAAACAAACCATCACTGTACCAGCAGTTGAAACCAATATTTCAGTGACTTCAGGGAGCTTCTCTTCGCAGTTTTAATTTGATGAATTAAAATCTTAATTAATCACAGTTTTAATTTGATGAATTAAAATCTTAAGATAACAGGTTTGACTGTGGTTCAGATTGGGCGTTAGCATAGTTTCAAATTTATCTACCTTATTTTTTTCCTTGCAAGGACTTTGCTTTTTACGTGTTTGTTTACCCATAACCATACCTTATTTTTAATTTCCTCCTATCTATAGAGGTAGTGTGGATAGTATGTAGAAGCAAGAATACAGTCAAAATGCCTGCCACTAGAACTGGCTCTTACCACTTCCTACTTGGTTTGTAAACTCTGAATTCTTTTGTAAAACCCATATGATTTGATACCTATCCCATAGTGCTAAATGAAAGTTGAGATACAAAGTAAAACAATCCCAAGCATGTAATAACATTAATACTTACAACAGACTAGAGTTACTTAAAATGAAAACCCAGAGGCATATCTGCCAAGAACGCTGACTGCAGGTTTCACGATTGTTTTGTGTTGCTCCCAGCATCCCTGGAAGGAGGCAGTATGTAAATGTTCCGTCTCTGCTATAGTCACAGCATAATCATCCGCAGACAACCCCCTAGTTTTCTTTTTTTCACTCCTTTCCCACTCGTCCCTGAACATCGGGATAGTAAAGCGAAGGAGTATAATTCTGAGCCGGGTAGATTGCACAAGAAACAAGAAGCCCGTTGTTGCCCCTTTAAAAGTTTTACCGAAGTCAACCCTGGCAAATACAACAGGCGCTGAGACTTAATCGTGTAAATGCTGCTACTCATTTTTCTGCTGCTACTCATTTTTCTGCTGCTACATAACCTATTTACAAAACCAACCGTCACACCAAAACCCGGGCTTCAGGGCTGCACAAAAGACGGAGCAGCGCCCTCCGCCGGGGGCTGCCCTGAGCCCAAGCAATCTTTTGAACAAGGCGCTGGCGTTTCACTGGCCAGGGGCTGCTGCTCGCTGATTGGCCCCTGGGGGAGGTGGGCGGGCCCCGGGAGCGTTCATTGGTGGAGGTGGGAAGTTTAAACGGAAGCAAAGGGGCTCCCGGGGTCGGGCCGTTTTGGGGCTGCCTGCGAGTCTGTAGAATTTGGTTCCTTTTCCAAACTCTTTTTTTTCCCCACCTGTCGGCGAGTGGACGGAGAAGGGGATCGACTTCTCTCCTCGGCCCTGGCGAGAGGCGGCCGGCGTGCCTGAGGACTCCGAGCCTGTCGGAGTAGCCATGGCGACCCGGCCGGGCGGCCGCAGCCGCTGGGAGGTGGGTCCCGGCGAGCCGAGGCTGGAGCCCCCGGGTCGGCCCGAGCCCACGTCCCCCGCCGTCCTATTGCTCAGCCACTTCTGCAGGTCGCCCTTCCTCTGCTTCGGGGAGCTGCGGCTGGGCGCATCGCGGACGCTGTCTCTCACGCTGGACAACCCCAACGAGGAGGTGGCCGAGGTGAAGGTCTCTCGCTTCCCCGCCGCCGAGCGCGGCTTCAGCATCTCGCAGCGCCGTTTCGTGCTGCAGGTAAGGAGCCGGCGGTCGGCTCTCGGCTCTTCTCGCCTCGCCTCATCCCACTTGCAGTGCTGCAGGGAAGAGAGACGCTCCGGCGCAAGCCCCTTGGAGAATAATGTCAGGGGCGTCTCGGTGCCGGTGGAGGAGGGGGAGGCCCCAGAGCGGTCGCTGCTGCAGGCGGGGACCTGGGCGGCGGCCGCGCGCATCCCTGCACGCGCCCTGCGTCTGGAGCAACCTTCCTCCCCGGGGAAGCATTGCTAACCGACCTCTCAGGCGTTGGCCAGCAGGACTCGCGGTTCTGAAGCAATACCCGTTTGTTTCTGTTGTATTTCTCGACTTAGCTTTTGAAGATCCCGAGGAGTAGCTTGGGTTTGAGCAGCAGCGTAGCTCGTCAGGATGCCAGATGTTTTTAATGCACTCTTCTCCCGGGCAAAGCAAGCGATGTTGGTTTTGTCGTGTTGGTTTTGTTGGTTGGTTTTGTCGTGTCAGAGTGTTTGCATTCATTTGCCTGCTAAGCTGTAGGGTGTATCCTGGAGTCAGGTGCAAGCGACTCCAGGTCGGATGCAGTCAATCACTAGCTGTTGTGGTTTTGGCGAAATGCTTGTGGACTTTCATCACTTCAACTGTGAGATCGGCGTCAACACAGTATTCGATTTTAAAAACAAATTCAGTATTGATCGTGGGCAATCACGCTTCCTCGGGAGTTAGAATTTATTTGCATTTTGTTGTTGTTGACTTAATGTGGTTAACAACAGTTTTCATGTTACTCTTTTATGCTTGCAATGCTGTCCCCACACCCCACCCTCAGAGTGCCCAGTATCCTCCCGGGCTCCAGTGATCCAGTGACTCATATCTTTTGGTTTCTCTGAATTGCTTTGGCTCTTCTGGTCGTTTTATGGTTCCAAATACATTTTAGAAGTGTTTGTTCTGCATATGTAGGGAATTCAGTAGGTAGGAATTTTGATGGAGAGTGCACTGAATCTGTAAAGTGTTTTGGGTAGGATGGTCATTTGAACAGTATTGAATCAACCAACTCACAAGAACTATGCATCCATTTCCTTTTGTCTTTATTTCATTCAATAATAATAATAATAAGTCTTCATTAAATAGATCTTTCACCTCTATTGTAAAGGTGAGTCCTATATATTTGAGATTTTTTTTAGCATTATTGTGATTTTATTTTAAGGCTTATTTCTTTTATACATTGTCGCTTACATGTACGGATGCAACAGATTTCTGTACACTGGTTTTGTAGCCTGCTACTTTACTGTTTACGTTTAATTGTTTAAGAGTTTCTTTGGTTTTTTTTTTAGGGCTTTTAATATCCAATATCATCTGCAAATAATAATAGTTTGAATTTTTTATTATCAATTTTAATCATTTTAATTCCTCTCTCATTGCTGTAGCCAAGATTTCTAATACTGTTAAATAATAATGGTGAGAATGAGCGTCTCTGTCTTTTGCCTGATCGCAGAGGAAAGGCTTTAAGTTTTTCCTCATTGAGTATAATGTTGCCTGTGAGTTTGTTATATATGGCCTTTTATATACTTGGGTGAGTTCCTTCAGCCTCCATCTTGTTAAGGATTTTTGTTATAGATGGATGTTGAATCTTGTTGAATGCTTCTGTGCATCTATGGAGAGGATCACATATATGCCTTGCTGTTGATATTTTCCTTCGGTTCTGCTAGTAATTTCTTTCTATATCTTGGAGCTCCTTCATTTGATAAGTGTATGTTAATGATTGTTATGTCTTTTTGATGTATTGTATGATGACCATCTCTGTCTTTACTGCCTTTTTTACTTTGAAATCTGAGTTACAAATGATTTAAGTACTTTGATAGAAGTACGGCTGTCTTTTAGTCTGTGTGTGTGTGTGTGTGGTTGTTTCCAAGCCTTTTGAATTGAGTCCGTGTATCATGACTGTTCTTGTAGCAGAAGGTTGAATTGACCTTTCTTATTCATATTTATCCAGCTCCAATTTCCCCCCGCCCCCCGCCCTTTTTCTTTCTATTTCTCCTGGGACTCTACATTTCTCTTAAAACTTGCAGATATCTCTGATGTTTTCCTCATTCTTAATTCTTTTTTCTTTTTACTCTTCTGGTTGGTTTCTTACATGTTATCTTTGATCTCCTTATTTGATCAGTTGCTTCTCCCATTCTGCTCCTTCTTCTGTCCATGGTGTTCTTACTTGTTCAGTTTCCAACCATGCTCTTCAGTTCAGTGGATTCTGATCCAAGTTTTCTCATACTTTCTCATTCCTGGCTGGAGTTCTTCTAATTGACATCTTCAGTGTAGTGAACAGCCTAGCCATTTTCACTTTAAATTCCTCACCAGAGAGGTTTGGGATCTATAGTGTACTTGAGGACATTCCCAAGTTATTGATATCATGCATTGGCATCAGTGAATTCCTGCACTTCTTTATTATTTCTGGTGCTACCTGAGTGCTTGTGTTGAGGGTCTAGTTTCATGATGGCCCGAATGGCTTCTGTGGGTCTTGTTTGCAGATTCACTCCTTGTAGCAGAAGGTTGGATTAACTTTTCTGATCTGTATTTTATCCAGCCCCAATCCCCCCCCCCCCCTTTCCCCTACTATTCCTCCTGAAACTCTACTTTTCTCTTAAAACTTTCAGATATCTCTGATGTTTTCTTCGTTATTAATTCAGAAATAGGGTTGTTGCTGGGTTGCTGTCTTCGGTTATTGGCTCATTTGGTTACTGATTACTCTCCTTTTGATAATGAGCTGCAGTTCCCTGCCTTTTCCTGAGGTCAGGGGTGTTTGGGTCACTGTGTAGGACCACCAGCCAATTCCAGCACTGTAAGAAAACAGTACCCCTTCCTTTGTCCTGAAACCTGTCTCAAGGACAAGCATTGGATGTGACAGGCAGGAAGGAGTGCCTTCCTACTCTTGAGGGAAGTGAGGATTGAAAGAGTTAAGTAAGATACCAGAAACATCTTGAAACAAAATGAATGAATAATGTCAGTAACATTGAGTTTGGGGTAGTTAATTTTAGAAGAGTTTGTGGAGAACAGGAATTCAGTTGAAAAAAAGTGTTCAAATTGCAGTCATTATATTTGTAATTAAAATAATATACTAATTCTAAGTAGGAATATACAGAAATTAAAAAATCATCCATTAAAATGCAAACTGATTTGGAGATTATTGGTGCTATTGCTTTCTTATGCAATTAAGATTTTAATGATTTTATTTTGTTTTGAACCTGATAATTACTAGTGACTTTTAAAAAAAATGAAATGAGCATATTAAATAGGAAATATGAGTTCTTAAAGTTATAGAGTTTCAGCAACAGTTACGATTTATGGTGGATATAGTATTTTATACTACATGTAGTATATATCTTATATTTTAGTTATTAGATATCATTCTTTATATAGTCACCTAAAATATTTTCTTTTGATTATAGCCTAAAGAAAGAATTGTCGTTTCTGTTAACTGGACACCACTTGAAGGAGGCCGAGTAAGAGAGATTATAACATTTCTTGTAAATGATGTTTTGAAACACCAAGCCATATTACTTGGAAATGCAGAAGAAAAGAAAAAGAAAAAGGTAATATGATTTGATTATTCTGTCACTTAGCCTAAGACAGTTCTGGTAATGTGTAAAAATTACTTCAATGAGGTGAGGTGTTACATCATGTTACTTCTGTAACAGGAATACCAAATAGCTCTCAATTTATTCTGTTCTGCTTATTTGACAGAGGAGTCTCTGGGATACCATTAGTAAAAAGAAAGTTTCAACCTCTTCAAGTCATAACAAGAAAGTTTCATCCTTTTCAAGTCATAACAAGAGAAATCCAAATACTCATGGTATTAATAAAACATTTGATGTTTCCCAACAAGTTGGCAGAGTTAGGAGCCCTCTTCAAGCCTGTGAAAATCTGACTGGGAATGAAGGTTGTTCCCCAGCAGAAAACAATTCTTTAGTTCTCCAAGTCAGCAAAATACCCCTGTCACCGATTAGCCCCACTTTCAAAAACAGCTGTGGGGACACCGGCCTGCCTCTGTCTGCAAGTTCGGATGCCACCTTCACTTCTCTCCATGTGCCCGAAAGTGGAAAACATTTAGAAGTAGAAAATGCCAACGTCTTGAAAGACTTTAGTTTCAGTGAGAAAATAGTCACTGAAACTTCCTTTAACTCCGAAAGTAATATGAACAATCTCAGTGAAGAGGATGGTACACTGACTCGTATCCCAAACTATTCTTCAACTTTGAATGTTACACAAACCCAACAACATTTTCTAAGTCCAGACTCCTTTGTAAATAATATATATGCAGCTAACAATGACCTGGGTTTAATAACTTGTCTTTCTTCAGATATATTTAAGAAAGAGAATTCAAGACCTGGGCATTTGGAGTCAAACAATGTCCATAAAGTTTGTCGGACAATTTTAAGTCCAGATTCTTTCGTAAGGGATAGTTGTGGAATAAATCTAGATCTGGAATCAGAGTCCATTCCTCCCATTCTGTCCCCAAATCAATTTTTAAAGGATAACATCTTATATTTACGTACATCCCCACAAACATGTACATTTTCACCAGTATCAAATGAAAATTCTCAGGCCTTGCAGCCTCCTCCAGATCTGAGAAAAAGTGAAGCATTGCCTTGTATTCCTAAATATCAGGATCCAGAATCTCCCAAAATTCTATTTAAGAAGACTGAAACTACAGAACTGAAGTCAGCAAACCATCACTCCACAAAACAAAAACAGCCAAAATTATTTGCAGTTGAGGATGTTTCTAGTCACAGCCATGATAAACAACTTAAGAGACGCCCAATACTTTGTTCTACGGTTACCAAAAAAAAGCATGTTTGTGCAGGAGAAAGCCAAATGGACACCAATAAACCACGGGCGAAAAGATGTCTCAGTGGTCCGGTAGAGGAATTAAACATTGTAAGAGATAATCAAGAGAAAGATGCTTTTCTTCTGAATCTTCCAGTTATAGATCCATTATTAAATAAATCTAGGCATTACAAAAATGATTCAGCTCCTCCTGCAGAGATGGTGTCAGTTGTTCGTAAGAGGAAGAATGAGGGAAACATGAAAAATGCAACAATGAGGGCTACAATTACAGGGCATACAGAAGTCCAAGAACCCAAAAGAATCCATTTCTCTCCTGCGCCTTCTAAAACATCAACTGTTAAAAAAACCAGAAAGGTGACAACACCCCTTTCAAAACGTGTTAGCAATCGAGAGAAATTCACTGTCAAAAAGAAATCCGGTGAGTGTTATTTATAAAAGCCTATTTTCTCCCACTCTTGGTTTAGGAAATTTGAACCTGCTAAGCTTGAATGAGTCCCCTTTTCACTAACTGGCGTGTTTACTGGAAGGTGGGTGGATGTGGAGTAGTTTCAGGATTAATTCTAAATGTTTGTGATATGGTTCATGTTTAAACTTTTGATTTTTTTTCTATCCTGATGTGACTTCAGCTTTTAAAAAATACTTTAAAGTACCTGATAACCAAAATTCCAACCACATCTACTTCCATATTACTTCTCTTTCTTTTAAAAACTAGAAGAAAACAACAGAACTGTTTGAGATTAATTAATCTAGTGCAAGACTGTGCTTTCAGGTTTTCCATCCATCCATCCATCCATCCATCCATCCATCCTTTTTTTTTTTTTTGCTTTTTGGGTCATACTGGTGGTGCTCAGGGGTTACTCCTGGCTCTACACTCAGGACAGGAATTACTCCTGACAGTATTCCCTGGCAGTGCTCGGGGTACCAAATCGGATGCTGGGGATCAAACCCAGGTCAGCTGCATTGCAAGGCAAATGCCCTACCCATTGTACTATAGCTCCAGCCCCGATTCTCTCTCTTTTTTTGAATACTCAATATTTAAAGCTATTTATTTTCTGAGCCCAATAATTCATTTGTTTTCATATTTAGATAAGCAAGTTACAATCATGGGAATGAATTTATATTAAAAGGAACCCCTTGAAATTCATATAATTATTGAAAGTAGTCTTCATTATTTCATTGTCATCGTAGAAATTTCTTACACCACCTTCCACTACAACCTGCCTGGACTGCACTCCTTAAAACCATTTCCATTTCCAATTACCATCACTAACTTTGCTTTTCAGCCTCATTTTCTAGCACCAGCAGGCTTTCTTAAATTAGGACCCTCCAACCTCATTTTTGATATTTCAGTGTCAGAAGAAGTACTGGGAGGTATTCACTAAGTGTCTCTCTTCTCTTGGGATCCTTTAGTAGCCTTCCTTGTTTCTGAATTATTTATAAAAGTAATTTTATTATTTAAGGTTTTCTTCGTATGATGTTTATCCTACGTGGTATGCCATCGTTCTGTAACATGCTAGCATTGCTAGTCTTACCACTCTGTGTATCCTCTCGTTAATTTTTTTTTTTCACCAATTCAGATCTGCACTTATTTCAAGTAGCATAGTATTTTATTTACTTTCTTCCCTGCTGACATGTTCTTCTAGGTACATTTCCTAGAGAATTCGAGTACAACATATGTGGCAGCTTGTACCTGCTAACACTGTTTACTTGTGTTGGTTTTCTTATTTCCTGTAGATACTATCTGACCTGATAACAAATTCTTGAAAAGGAGCCTATCTGTTCAATCTCTTTCCAAGTGTACAATGAACAACATAATAAATGAAGGAATGAGTAGACAAACCACTCAAACCACCCGAGTGTTGACATTTGAACCTGTTTATTTGAGGCCACCTAGTTGAAATTCTTTTCTCTGTTTAGAGAGAATTCACCATCCTGAGCTTTTAACTTATGAATTTATATGAGAACAGAGTAACTCACTAGGAAGCAAATGTAGGAGAGCAGAGGAAAAAGCCATTTTTTCAGTATGTGTTAAACTTTGGCCTGGTGCTTGCTCTGTGCTATGTGTTGTTGTAGGTTCTGGATGCAAGAATTAAAAATTCACTGCCATCAGTTTTTGTTTTCTCCTACTCTCTTAGGAGAAATTAGCCCTTCTTTCTTGTTCTCCTAACTCTTCATATGTACTTCTTTTTGTAGCAGATTATAATTCATTGAAGGCTTCTACACTGAGAATTTCCTAAGGGCTAAGATTGAGACCAATGTTTTTCAGTTCTGCATTCTTAGACTATAGCCCAGAATAGGAAATATATTCACATAAAAATTGTGATTTAATAAATATGTACCATAGTTATTTAATAAATAACTTATATGACACAAAGTTATTTCTAGATGTAGGTTATTTTTGATCACTGAGTTCATTATATAGCTCCTGACCCATTATGGTTATTTATATTAAACCTCAAAGCAGCACATTCAAGAAATTTCTTGCCCCTGTTAATGCTAGTCTTTTTTCATTCATTTCAGATTCATCAGTATACAGAACTCCTCATTCCAAAACAAGCAGAAGGACAAAGTCCATTATTGCTGTGGCACAGTCCACTTTGACTTTCATAAAGCCATTAAAAACAGGTAAGTCTGCCAATGCAACAGATTGGCATGGCGCATTGATGACATTTGAAATAGAAACGTACCTGAACCTTTCTTATTGTCACTGTCACTGTGCTCCCCTTGTTCATCGATTTGCTCGAGCGGGTCCAGTAACATTGTGAGACTTGTTGTTACTGTGTTTGGCATATCAAATACATCACAGGTAGCTTGCCAGGCTTTACCGTGTGTGCGAGATACTCTCGGTAGCCTGCCGGACTCTTTGAGAGGGACGGAGGAGTCAAACTCTGGTTGACCATGTCAGCCCCGTGCAAGGCAAATGCCCTACTCGCTGTGCTATCGCTCTAGCCCAACCTTTCTTGTTAAATAAAGTATTTGAACAATTGTTGAAGCATGCGTTAAAATAACATTAGGATAATCTGTTAGATGAAATTAAACTTGGTGAGGGTATTTTTAAGCAAGTAGGAAGGGCTGCCTTTTTTCCCTTTTATTTTGATTTTCTGTCCCAAATGTGTTCCGCTTTTTCCAGCAAGTAGTCAGTCACTGTCACTGTTCCTTCCCTTGTTCATCTATTTGCTCGAGTGGGCCCAGTACCATCTCCATTGTGAGACTTGTTGTTACTGTGTTTGGCATATAGAATATGTCACGGGTAGCTTGCCAGGCTTTGCCATGCGGGCAAGGTACTCTTGGTAGCTTGCCGGGCTCTCCGAGAGGGGCGGAGGAATCAAACCCGGGCTGCCCGGGTCGGCCGCATGTAAGGCAAACGCCCTACCTGCTGTGCTATCGCTTCAGCCCACAGCAAGTAGTCTAAAGCAAATATTGTTCTCTATTTTTTGTTTTTGTGGTGGAGCCTGGGTGGAGGGGTTGGAACTCAGGGCCTACTACTTGAAAAGTAGTTGACCACTGAGCTGCATTCCCAGACCCAAGAGATGATTTTGCTAGTAAAAATAAAAACATTTTGCTATAAATAATTTGAAGGACAGTTTTTTATACAATAACATAATTGTTTTCTTAGGTATTCCCAGACACCCAATGCCATTTGTTGCAAAGAACATGTTTTATGATGAACGTTGGAAGGAAAAGCAGGAACAGGGCTTCACTTGGTGGCTCAATTTTATATTAACTCCTGATGACTTCACCGTAAAGACAAGTGTTTCTGAAGGTAAATGTGAAGTTTTGCTGTTTTAGCCGAGAGGTTTTAGCGTCTTTCCTTAGCTGTGCACAATTTACTATCAGGTGAAAGGCCATATGCACCTACTCATTCATAAGAATGTATAGGTGAGAATTATTCAATAATTCTGTACTCAAAGTGCTGAGTTTCGTCTTTTTTATTTTATTTTTTTAATCAGTGCTGCAGATCCCCGTGTTCCAGGTGAATCAATTTTATTTTCTTGCAAGTTTTATTTTAATAACAGATTTCATCCAAGTTAGTAAAAAGTGACTGCCAAAAATCCAATTCAGTCTCATAAGTTTAATGTTCAGTGTGGCCTTATTCGTTATTTCATCCCAACTTTTTTTTGTGTGTGTGTTTACTTTTAACTACCATAGATATATGTAGGCAGTACAGTAACAAAGGCTCTGGGGAGTTTTTAGGACAACTCAGTTTTGGGGCGGTCAGCAATAGTACAGAGAGAGGGTAGGGCGCTTGCCTTGATGGCAGCTGACCCGGTTTTGATCACTGTCACTGCATCTGGTCCTCAGAGCCCAGCCAGAAATCATTCCTGAGCAAAGAACCAGGAGTAAGCCCTGACCAGGGCTGGGTGTGGCCTGAAAGCAAACAAACAAAATCTCAGTTTTTATTCTGGAAGAGAAAGAACTCAAGATGGAGCTCTGCTGCCTGCAAACATCAGAAGGATTTTTGGTCTTGACAGAGAAGCAAACTTTAACTTGGCAGTTCTCTCAAAGAATTACATAGAGCAGTTCAGCTCAACATAAGGAGAATTTTTTTTTGGTTTGCAGGCCACATCTGGCAGTGTTCCTAGCTCTATGCTCAGTAAATCACAGCTGTCCTGCTCTGGGTACCATGTGTGTCCCTAGAAGTCAAGCCTGGGTCAGCTGCATGCAAAGCAAGTGCCTTGTCCACCATGCTATCTCTCTGGCCAAGGACAAATGCTTTTTAATGATTAAAATATCATATAAGCTCTCCTACTATGATAATTTCTTTATTATTATGATGTTCAAGCAGACTCTTGTCTGTAAAGGATTTTTATATTAGCCCTGCAGCTAGGTAATCACTAAGATCACTTCTTTTTCTTTTTTCCGAAAAGCTAGTAAAACCTGATTTTTAGTTGAGATAAAATGTATATTTTTAAATTCAAATTGCTTCTGAAATGGTAACTGATTTTTTAAAAATTTTAAATCACATTTGGCCGGAGCAATAGCACACCAAGTAGGGTGCTTGCTTGCATGCGGCTGACCCGATTTTCACTACCAACATCCCATATGATCCCCCAACCACCTCCAACCTCCAGGAGTGATACCTGAGCACAGAGCCAGGAGTAACCCCTGAGCATCAGCAGGTGTTGCTCAAAAACCTAAAAAGGAAAAATAATCATATTCCTTAGGTGTTTATCTCCTTAATCTGTAAAGTGGATAGAATCAAATGAGCCACAAGAAGCTAGTTGGCTACCTGAAGTTAGAGGTGATTCTGTCTGAAGTTGGAGGTTGTGGAAAGGGATTGAACATGGCATGCATTTTGTAAGTAGAACCAACAGATCCAAAACTAGTTGAGCCAATAGTGGCAATGAATGGTGGTACACTTATTTTGAGATAGAAAATGAAGAACTAGTCAGTAAGGGAGAGAATTATATTGTTTGGACCATATTAAACTGCATTTCTTGGGATTAGTTTTGCCAAAAATATTCCGACTTTTGTCTTATCTAGTAAATGCTACTACCCTTCTTTTGGGAGTGGAGAATCAACATAAAATAAGTGTTCCTAGAGCTCCTACGAAAGAGGAAGTGTCGCTGAGAGCTTACACTGCTCGCTGCAGACTGAACAGGTTACGTCGTGCTGCATGTCGCTTGTTTATGTCTGAGAAAATGGTGAAAGCAATTAAAAAGCTTGAAATTGAAATTGAAACGAGGCGGTTAATGGTTCGAAAAGATAGACATCTCTGGAAAGATGTAGGTAAGTAAGGGAAAGGTCGAGATCTTCAGATTAAAAATCACTAGAGATTTTGTATTCCAGAGTCATGACATGGCTTTGTTTCCTAAAATCTACATACTTAATCAAATATATTGATTAGAATGAAAGTATCCCTGTCACTATCCTCCCGTTGTTCATCGATTTGCTCGAGCAGGCCCAGTACCATCTCCATTGTGAGACTTGTTACTGTGTTTGGCATATTGAATACGTCACGGGTAGCTTGCCAGGCTTTGCCGTGTAGGCGAGATACTCTTGGTAGCATGCCAGGCTTTCCGAGAGGGGCAGAGGAATTGAACCCAGCTCAGCCAGCTGGCTGCGCGCAAGGCAAACGCCTTACTGCTGTGCTGTCGCTTCATCCCAGAATGAACGTATATTTAATTTAAACTACGTTGTTTTATACAAGTGAAACATTCCATTCCCCCCCTCCCCATGTAACTTTCTATTAAACTTTATTGTGTCTGATTAAAAGTCTGATTTTACTGCTTTTAAATGCATTTCAGGAGAACGGCAGAAAGTCCTGAATTGGCTGTTGTCATATAATCCTTTGTGGCTACGAATTGGCCTAGAAGTAAGTATACATTTCAGTTATGTTTTGAAAATGAAGTTTTTTTTATGGTATACATTTATTTTTATTTATTTTTATTTATTTGGATGGGAGGTTTTGGCCACTTCCAGGGGTGTTCAGGGTTTCCTCTTCATGGTGCTAGGGAACCGTATCTGGTGTGAGGGATCAAACCAGGGTTGGTCACATACAAGATAAGCGCCTTAACCCTCTACTGTTTTTCTGACCCCTATAGAGCTCAGGGGCACGTCTGACTCAGTTTAAGGATCACTCCTGGAGGTACCTCTAGGACCATCTATGATTCCTGAGATCGATTCAGGGTTGACTGAGTGGAGGAAGCACTCTACTTGCTTTACTATCTCTCCAGTCTTTCAATAGACTTTTAATAAATTATGACTTTGTAAAGTAATTTTGTTAGTAATTAATTTAGTCTTTTCGTACAAAATTTAGGTTCTTTAGTAAATGCTCATTAGCTAACTAGACTACCGTTACGTATTATGCCAGATCATTACATAACAGGTTTCTTATCATATATTGTATTCCATATATGTGTATATATGTGCCCTTTGGCACTGGATATAATAATAAGTATATTTATCTGCTTTTTGAGTACTTGTGAATGGCATTCCTTGCTTTGGCAGTTTCGAATGTGTTTTCTAATTTAAACCATTTAAAAACTCGGTGTTTCTTTTTTGAGGAAACTTCTGTTCATTTCTTCTCCCCATTTTTTGATTGGGTTGGAGCTTTTTTTTTCTTGTACAATTCTACTAGTGTCTTGTATATCCTTGATATTCATCCCTTATCATATGACCCCGCAATACCACTTTTGGGAATATATCCCGAGGATGCAAAAAAGCACAGTAGAAATGACATCTGTACCTATATGTTCATTGCAGCACTGTTCACAATAGCCAAAATCTAGTGCCCTAGAACAGATGACTGGTTAAAGAAACTTCGGTACATCTACACAATGGAATATTATGCAGCTGTTAGGAGAGATGAAGTCATGAAATTTGCTTATGAATGGATAGACATAGAGAGTATCGTACTAAGTGAAATGAGTCAGAAAGAGAGGGACAGAGAAGGACTGCACTCATTTGTGGAGTATAAAACAACATAACATGAGGCTGCCACTTAAGGACAGTAGATACACGGGACAGATAGATTGTTCCATAGCTGGAAGCCTGCCTCATGAGCAAAGGGGAGAAGGTAGCTGGAATAGAGAAGGGATCACTAAGAAAAAGATGGCTGGAGGAATCAGTCGGGATGAGAGATGTATGCAGAAAGTAGATAAAGGACCAAACATGATAACCTCTCAGGGTCTGTATTGCAAACCATAATGCCCAAAAGTAGAGAGAGATTATGGGAAATCATGTCTGCATGGAGGCGGGGGAGGGTGGGAAAAGGGGGTTATACCGGGGATATTGGTGGTGGGGAATGTGCACTGGTGGAGGGATGGGTGTTTGATCATTGTATGATTGTAACCCAAACATAAAAGCTTTTAACTGTCTTAAGGTGATTCAGTAAAAGAAATAAATACAAAGAGAGGGGAAAAAAAAGCCCTTCAGTGTTATTTCTACTTTATTGGCAAAGAAGAAGGTTAAATGTCAAGTAACTTGTAATTCCATCTTATATCCATTTTGATGGAATATTATTCATAAAAATATTGGAATATTTGAGTGTTTTATATGTTATATGGCACAATAATATTTATAATGTTTCAACTTAGTTAGAAAGCTTCTATTAGACTTTTGAAAATAGTTTTATTTCATAAAGAACCTGCTTTCATTTTCTTTAGTATCTTACTGATATAATTTTATCCTTTTTTTAAATTCTTTTATTGTCATCATACAGAATGTCCTATTTTAGGTTTTAGTAGCAAAATCTTTGAAACTAAAAGGAGTCTTTGAAATTTTCTGGCTTTTGTTGGTCCAGAAATTGGGGACTAGAAAGAACAAAAGGCAATAAAAACTGTCCATGGTCACACAGCCGTATCATTCCATTGCCTAACCTTCCTATTTCAATTTTATCAGCTTTTCATTAATTAGGACATGACCTGTCAACTGGCTCTGCTTCCTATATCAAATTCCAGAATTCACTTGAAATCGGCCCCCTTTACTAAGTATAAAGCCTTGTGTGAGAGAGATAAGAGCAGGCAGTCAGACAGCCTCTGATGCCAGGTGCAGTGTCCACCATTGCACACCAGCCTCGCTGGAAAAGCCCAGTCTCTCGCCACAGTCCAATGAGGCCGCAATGGCTTATTGTCCCACAAGGGATGTCACTGTTACTCTGTAGGATACTTTTATGGGTGTGATCTTTAAGGGTTATATGGAAGTATCAAAGTTTAAAAAAAAAAGTAAATAGAAATTTTGACAACTTATACTTTCTCATACTTTTGTATCTATTTTAGATTATAGAGTAAAATGTGATGTGGTTTTAATTTCTAATTGCTTTAAAAATCAATAATAGATATAATGATATTTATCTGAGTTCCTGTTTAAATCATCGGTTATGACTTCCGAACTTCCCAGATCTGAACTTATTATTATATGAAATAATTTCAGTGATTTTCCACTCATTAACTATTAGAAAAGATTTCAGTATTAGGTTTCTTTTGTAACTTTGTGTTATATTTAACGTGTCAGAGTCAAACTCGAACAGCATGACCACATTTGATAGTTGGCGCTTTTTTTTGTTTAAGTAAAGTAATAAAAATTTAGGTATTACTTATCAGGTGAACTTGAAAAGCTTGTCTTAGTCCTGAACTTTTCACCCTTTTCACCGTGAAATATATAGAATGTACAGTAAGGAATGTAGAAAACATTTGCATATAGCTTAAAGAGGTCATTTATTCACCTGTGTTGCTTGATTCGGCTACTTGATCGTGAGCAGTTTCTTAGTAGGTCTAAGTCTCTAGTTTCTTTTTCTTCTCTTTTTCTTTTTTAAAATTTTCTTAATTTTTTTAAGCCTCTAGCTTCTTAAACTGGATTAAAAAATGTGTTTTAAAATAAATTTATAAAGTTATTTGTGATTTATATATATTGTCAGTAAATATTTGACTCATACACCTGTTTTGTATATGGTGTTACATAAAAATTTCTTAGGCTAAATCAGGGGGCATCAGTGGGAAAAGTTTAAGAAGGTCTGGTCGAGTCTTTTTCCACTCTTGTATCCCTTTGCTTCTTAGAGATAATGTCATTCTGACTTCAGATTTATTCTCTTTTCAAGACAGTTTTTGGAGAACTCATATCTTTGGAAGACAATAGTGATGTCATGAGTCTGGCCGTGTTCATTCTGAATCGCTTACTCTGGAATCCTGACATAGCAGCTGAGTATAGACACCCCTCCGTCCCTCATCTATATGGAGATGGTAAGAAATTCTGCCTCTGCTGAGTTTTTTTGGTCATTGACTCCTCATTCTCCCTTTTCTGTTTCAGTGTTATTTTTTGCACAAACTGGTTTTAATGGGCTCCTCTTTCTACCACACTCCTTCCACCACTGTCATTTTATATCATTTCCTCAACACTATTTACAGTTTTTCTTACGTCTTTGTTGTCTCTACCCACTTTGCCCCCTAGAAGGTCTAGGAGCGTCATATTTATTTAGTTTGCTGTTGTATACCTGGTACCTAGAGTAGTGCAGCTTATATTAAAATACTTGTTAAATATTTACAAGTGATATGACTTAAAGTTCTTGGTCTTTATTTTTTTTCATCCATAAACTGAAATTACTAAATGGGACCTGTCCCATAGAGTCATTGGTTGAATATTAAATTGGTTCATGCATATTCAACACTAAGGAAAACTTATTTCTGTTTACTGTTTTTCTTTAACGTCATATCAAACAACAAACAAACACTGTCCTCCCATTGTTCGTCGATTTTGCTTGCGTGGGCCCAGTAACGTCTCCATTTTGAGACTTGTTGTTACTGTGTTTGGCCTATTGAATACGTCATGGGTAGCTTGCCAGGCTTTGCTGTGAGGACGAGATATTCTCGGTAGCTTGCCGGGCTCTCCAAGAGGGGTGAAGGAATTGAACCTGGGTCAGCCAGGTCAGCCGGGTACAAGGCAAACACCTGGCTCGGCTGGGCTGGCTGCGCACAAGGCGAATGCCCTACCACTGTGCTATCACTCCAGATGTCATATCTTTTTTAAAAAATTAATAAGTTTTATTTAAACACCATAGTTTACAAAGTTGTTTCAGGTGTTCAGTATTATGTTATCATTTCTTGAAGTGAAACCTTTTTTCCTAAACTAATCTGCTATATTTTTCTGAACTTTTTTTAAGGTCATGAAGAAGCTTTGTCTAAGTTTACTTTGAAAAAATTACTGTTGTTGATTTGTTTCCTTGATCATGCTAAAATATCCAGACTCATTGATCACGATCCTTGTCTCTTCTGTAAAGATGCCAAATTCAAGGTACTGTTTTTACTCTCCATCTTGTGGTTTATATTTCACACTTTATGACTTTCACATGCTTTTTTAATGTAGGTTCTCTTTAGAAAAAAGGGAGTTTCGCAAAGCACAGTACTCTGGAGCAAGACAGGAAGTCAATCAGTAGTTCTCACCTTCCTCACTCTGATGGTTCACTACAGCTCAGCCCCTTACTCTCAACTTTGACTTGGGAATGAGTGCAGCTATGCTTTTGAGGAATTAGTTTGGGGAAATTTCCTTCTGTAATTTTACAATGTTATTTTTGCTTTGTTTCTTCATGTATAGAACTACTTAAAGAATTGGTCTTTCCTTGAACAGAAACATGCTATTGGAATATAATTCCTGCAATTTGTTTCTTTGTAGACAAGTAAAGAAATTCTTCTGGCTTTTTCCCGAGACTTCCTAAGTGGTGAAGGCGATCTCTCCCGACATCTTAGCTTACTGGGCTTACCTGTTAACCACGTTCAGACACCATTTGATGAATTTGATTTTGCAGTTACAAATCTGGCTGTAGACTTGCAATGCGGGGTGCGTCTTGTGTAAGTATAAGAAACTGAAGTATTTAATGAAATAAACTAAAAATTTGCGGAGAAGTATTTTTCCTCCTGCAGTTTACTTTTTTTGCTCCTTTATATACTAAAGCAAATGTAGGGTTTAAGAACTTTTGGGTAAAAATCAGCAGCACTTAATCTAAGAATCTGAGCCAGGAACACTATTAATTCTAGGCCTTGTTTGTAACTTTGTCTCCTATTTATCTATAGTTTTTTTTTTTTCCTTTGCTGACCTGTTACTAGGAAGTTTAAGTAGGAAATAATTGATACCCAGGAATCAGAACTGAGAAAAGTATAGAATAAATTAAAATGATATTAATATTAAAATAACACTTTGTCTACAGTGGTTTTTTGAGTACTGCATCATTTGAGACCAGTTTTGGTCATATTTTTCTTTGTTCATCATACTTGCAGAAAAGTAATCTGACATAAAATGGATTGCCCATGTTTTACACAATAGTTTTGGGACATAAACTCCATTTATTTTCATATATGTTTTTACATACTAATTTCAACTGAAAATATCTGATGGTAGGCGAGCAATGGAACTTCTTACACAGGACTGGACTCTCTCTAAGAAACTCAGAATGCCAGCAATAAGTCATCTTCAAAAGATGCACAATGTTGACATTGCTCTTCACGTTCTTCGGTCACGAGGCATTTCCTTAAATGATGAGCATGGTAAGTTGTGCAACAATAAAGTTTTTTTCACCGATAATTATATGTATAAAAATTGAGCTAATGGACTATCTTTTTGTTTATAGGAAATACAATCCTAGCCAAAGATATCGTGGATAGGCACAGAGAAAAAACTCTCGCATTGCTTTGGAAAATAGCGTTTGCCTTTCAGGTATCGTACTTTTGGTGTATTTTGTATATATATTTTTTTTCTAATTTAATCTTCACAATAAAGTTGGTGTTATCACTACTTCATAGGCGAGGACATTGAACTAAAACTTTACATCACTGACAGGAAGCAGAGCTGAGATTATAATTTAGGGTTTGTATACTTTTAAACCTGCAGCTGCTCAAATACCTCCTGGTTCATCCTTTGATCTGCATATTTTCTATCTGCTATACATATTAATCTATAGTTATTTGGATTTCTAAACAGAATAGATTTTAAAAAAAAGTGTAAATTGACCTTGGCAGTTCATATTTGTGCTGTTTTTCAAAGTCATCTGTACTTAACCAAGACACAGCTATCACTTCCAGGCAAACTCTCTGCCTTTTGTGGGCAAAAAATTGCCTGATTTTGGAGGGTTAAAAATAGCATAAAAGGTGGGGGTATGATGCCGCCAGCAGGTCAATCTGTACCTGTGAGGCTAGTGCATCAGCAGCCTGATGCCACCGTCAGGCTTTCAGATACCCCAAAATTGCTGCTGTGCCTTTGGCCAGACCCCAAAAACTTGTAGCAAAGTTTACCAAGAAAGTAAACGGCCCATAGTTAGGTATGTGGAGACACACCCACAAGCCACCTCTGGCTCAGTTATGTAATTGGAGGCATGGCCTCTCTGGTTCCTGATCGAACTGCTTAACAGCCATGATCACAGAAGCTCAGAAACGAATCTTGGAACCCAAAAGCTTTTGGGAGAAATGCGTCCTGTTCCTGCCTTAGGTTACTGGGGCTGGGCCACTCCAGGTGGGAATAGGTTTTGTGCCTTAACCTATTCCCCTTGGCGGCCTGGTGACCATCATCCTCCAGAGGCCACTGGACAGTCAGATTTGGGCCTGCAGTGACGAGACACGCGGGGCCTGACCAGATGGGGGTGGAACCGGCACTTTCCTCCCCATCCCAGCAAGACCCCAAGTCGCCGCCTACAAACGGCCTCTCTGGCTCCTGATCAAACTGATTAATGTCCATGATCCCAGAGACTCAGAAACAAATCTCGAAACCCAGCGGCGATTGGCAGAAATGCATCTGGACTGCATATACGGCCATGGCTCCAGAGGCAAAAGGACTTAATACAGAGCCTGGCAGCTTGCAGCAGAAAAGTGAATGGACCATGCGTTAAACTATGGCGCCATGCCTTCCCGGGAGAGAAAGGGTGTTGCTCCCTTCTGCCTTTCTCCCCGCCAGCAGCAAGGTCGCCTCCTCCTCAGAGCCTATAGGAAAGCCACATATGAGCCTGCATTGACGGGGCAACTGCAATCTCATGGAAAGGGGAGCGGTACTGGCTTGTCCTTCACGCCCTACCCAGGTCACGAGTTGTCCCCCATGAGCGGCTCTCTGGCATGGCCTTGGCTCCAGAGGCAAAAGGACTTAATCCACAGCCTGGCAGCTTGCGGCAGAAAAGTGAATGGACCTTGAGTTAAACTATGGTGCCATGCCTCCCCAGAAGGGAAAGGGTGTTGCTCCCTTCCACCTTCTCCCCCCCCCCCCAACCCCTGGGCAGCAAGGTGGCCGCCACCTCAGAACTTATAGGAAAGCCACATATTAGCTGGCGGTGACAGGGCAACTGCAGTCTCATGGGAAGGGGGGCGGTACCGGCTCGTCCTTCACGTCCTACCGAGGTCCTGAGTTACCCCCCATAAGCGGCTCTCCGGCACAGCCATAATACCAGACGCACAGAAACCAGTCTCGTAATGATCTGGCTGGCTCTTTGCAGAAATCCAAAATTACGTGGCCACAATAGTGGTCGCGCAACATTATATGGTTATCATAACCAGCTATATAAAACAAAGTACTTCACAATGCCTTTTCAGCAATTCTGATTGTTGAGGGGGAGGATTCTAAACAATAATGGTGCATCCTTTGTCGAAATGATGAATGTAATCAATGTAGAGGAGTTAAGTAGAAATCATCTGCCTCACAGGCATTGGGTGGGTGGGAGGGGGGTATATTGGGGTTCTTGGTGGTGAAAAGTGAGTACTGGTGAAGGGAAAGGTGTTTGATCATTGTATGACTGAGACTTAAACCTGAAAGCTTTGTAACTTTTCCCACAGTGATTCAATAAATAAATATAAGACGAAAAATAAATACAACTATGAAAAAAAAATAGCATGAAAGGGGCCAGAGCGATAGTGCAGCGGTGTTTACCTTGCATGCTGCCAATCCAAGTTCAATTCCCATCATCCTATATCCTGAGTACCTCCAGGAATGATTCCTGAGTGCACAACCAGGAGTAACCCCTGAGCATCACCAGGTATAACCTAAAAAAAAAAAAGCCCCCCAAAAAAAAACCCATGAAAAACAAGGATATTTGTCATTGTTTTAGGTGGAGATTACCCTCAACGTAGATCAGTTAAAGGAAGAAATTCACTTTTTAAGTCACACGCTAACTATAAAGAAAGCAATATCTGCACTGTCTTGCTATTCTGATGCTGTTGTTGATAAGAAAAAAGAGAAAAGAAAAAGTAGTTCTTTTGAACAATATAGTGAAAACATAAAGTTGTTAATGGATTGGGTGAACGCAGTTTGTGCCTTCTATAATAAAAAGGTAAGCTCTTTTGTTTTACCTTAGTATCTTTAGATACATTTTGGTTAAAATCAATCATATTTAATGCATAAACCTTTTCTTGCATTCCTTAAATAATTTATCTATGTAAGGAACCCATTACTTACATTAATAAGAGAATTGTGTACTCTGCTTTACCTAATTTAAGATAGCACTGATTTTGAATGCACACTTATTTTATGTGTCACTAAAGGAAAAAATTTACTAGGTATTTATGAAAGAAACATATACAGAATTGGGGAGCAAAGGATCACAATCTTATAAAGGTAACAGCAAATAATTCCACAAAACAAAGGATTAGTAAATTTACCACCAAAAAAAAAAGGATATGGATCATAAAACTAGTAATATCTTTTTTACTATGTAGTACAACTTATTGTGTTTTTTTCTGGTATTTTTTAATCAGGTGGAAAATTTTACAGTGTCTTTCTCTGATGGCCGTGTATTATGTTATCTCATTCACCACTATCATCCTTGCTATGTGCCTTTTGATGCAATATGTCAGCGTACCACTCAAACCGTGGAATGTACACAGTCTGGTTCAGTGGTGCTAAATTCATCCTCTGAATCCAATGGAAGTTCTCTGGATATGTCTTTCAATACACTTGATGAAGGTTTGCTGCTTTTGTTTAAGTAACTTTTTCATTTTCTTTACCATGTCTGAACTTTGCCTTGATCAGTCTGACTTCCTTCTCTCTTTTTATTTGCCTTGTAGAAAATACTTCAGAACTATACAAAGACCTACTAGAAAATGAAAAGAAAAACTTTAAGTTGGTTCGGTCTGCGGCTAAAGACCTTGGTGGAATTCCTGCTATGATTCATCATTCTGATATGTCAAACACGATTCCTGATGAAAAAGTAAGTAATGTTTCTTATTTAATAGCTCTTACTACTAAGAACCTCAGAAAATAGTACTTATATATATTCTCTGTTATATCTATTATATATATTTCTTAGGTTGTTATTACGTATTTGTCATTTCTTTGTGCAAGACTTTTGGATCTTCGTAAAGAAACAAGAGCTGCTCGGATTATACAGACGGCTTGGAGAAAATATAAACTGAAAAAAGATCTAAAACGACATCAGGTACTTCTTAAAAAATGAAAGCACCTTACATGCATTGTAGTATATTGGGTACCGGCTGATTCTGATCTTTACATTTTATGGATCTGTGAAATTGTTCTCTATTATAATAATTGGGTTTTGAGTTGTGGATAGATATTTTTCTTTGACTTCTGATTTTTTCCACTCACTTAGTCTGCTTTAGGGTAAATGAGTAAGTTTTTTTTACTTTGTAAATTTGTGGAAGAGAAACTGGATACACTTTATTCTACTTTTGTGCTTTCCCTGTTGGAATTTTGTCTGTCTCCAATAGTTGGAGTTTTCCATTGGTTGCATAGGCCCACGCTGTTTCCAATACTGCTTGACCCTGGGTGTTAAGTGTCTGAATTTGCAGTTTATTTAGCCAGTTCATTTGTTTCTCTTGAAACTGTCTTTTAATTCCTTATTCTTTATTAATTTAAATAAACTATGTTGTTTCTGTTGTTTTATTTCTTAAAACTTTTTTGATCCAGGATGCTACTTTTTAATTTCAGTACAGAATTTTTCATTAATATTAAAATAACTTCCTGAGCTTATGAGACATGTTATTCTGAACAAGATTAATTCTTTTACCGTACTATTTCTACTAACAGTACTTATTTATTGGGGGAGGAGGGATGGGGAAAATACAGCAAGTATACATAACATGATTGCTCAGCTATTTCAGAAATCGGTTCAACCCAGTATTGCTCTTCACTTTGGGTTAAAATATATTTAAGGTAAAGTTCTTCATAGAACTTTATATGTAGCACTGTCCTCCCGTTGTTCATCGATTTGCTCGAGAAGGCACCAGTAATGTCTCCATTGTGAGACTTGTTTTTTGGCATATCGAATATGCCACAGGTAGCTTGCCAGGCTTTGCCCTGCAGGTGGGGTACTCTCGGTAACTTGCTGGGCTCTGCGAGAGGGACAGAGGAATTGAACCCGGGTCGGCTGCGTGCAAGGCAAACTCCCTACCTGCTGTGCTATTGCTCCAGCCTATAGAACTTTATAATACAGTTAAATTTTGGCAACTCTATTCTATATAGAATGTATTATCTCATATCAGACCTAAAAGTAAGATGAGTTGAAATTATTTAACTTGACCTGCACAGAATCTTGGTTATAAATGTAGGAAGGTTACCCTCTTCAGTGACCTCTGCTATTGTATGTTTCCTGCTCATCTTCACAGAATCTGCCCTCTTGCCCACATCCCTTAGAGATGTCTCTCTACTGTCTCTCTTATCTCCTTTTGCTGCTTTTAATTTTGTTATATCCAATAAATCACTGCTAAGTCTGGTGTTAATGAAACCTTTCCCTGTTTCCTACCAGTAATAAAATTTTGGGTATCCTGTTTGGCTCATTAATCTATTTAGAGTAAATTCATGTATATACTCTAAGATGTGTATATACTCTAAGATAAATATTGAATTTAATTCTTTTGCATGGGAATATTCATATGCCCTGTCATCATTTATTGCAGTATTTCTCATAGAATGAGTGTAGCACTCAGATTATTTATCTGTGGAATTGAGAATTCCAACCTCTCCCATTCTGTTGCTCTAACATATTTGTCTTTATGTGTGCACCATATGACCACACTATTATTGTAGTTTTGTACTATGCTTAAAAATTGCAATGATGTGCTTTTAACTTGTATCTCTGTAACCTTCTGGATCATAGGTTTTAGAGTGTTAGTCTTAAGTGATTAAGCATTTAATTCATATCTGTTTTGTGTTTTAGGAGAGAGACAAAGCAGCAAGAATTATTCAGTCAGCTGTAATAAAATTTCTAACTAAACGACGATTGGAAAGAAAGGTTAATGCAGCACTCACCATTCAAAAATATTGGCGAAGATACTTAGCACAGAGAGAATTGTTGATATTGAAAAAGGAAAAACTAGAAAAAATTCAAAATAAATCAGCATTAGTAATTCAGGTATTCAATCTATGTTTTTAATGATAATAGTTTTAATTACATTTTAAAGATGAGAGTATAAAATTTTAAATTCCTATATTTTCTGTTTCTATATTTAGTCCACTATTAATATAACAGATATTTAATATTTTCTAGCTACCAGTGAAACTGCTGAGTTCAGCATAAGACTCAATTTGACATGCCTACTTTGCTCTAAAGGGGTCAACAGTTTCACTCTACACTATTTACTTTATTACACATAGAAAATTAAAGGAATCACAAATGTAGAGTAAATATAGTTTTGTTTTCCTTACATATGATGGCTTACACTGATTGATTTAAATCTTTGAACTAAATTGACATTCCTGGGATAAAATATACATGTTTGTAATGTATTATTTTTTATATATTGCTTGAATCCATGTGCTGATATTGGTTTAAGAATTTTAAATCTATGTATATGAACCACAGTGATTTATTTTCTTCTACTTTTTTTTTTAATCAAGTTTTTAATGGCTTTATTAAGTCAGTTGGAACTTTCTTGGTTTTGGGGGGAAGAAGTAATGTAAAATTGGCTTTTTTCTTCTTTAAAGTTCTAATAGAATTCAGTAATGCTTCTCTCTTTGTGTGGATATCACAAAAATTTTACATAAGAGAGAGAGAAAGAGAGAGAGAGTGTGCTGATTTCTGTTTTTTTTTTTTTGGTCGTTGTTATTGGTGTTCTCATATTCACAATGGCACTGCCATCAACATGAATTTAAGGCTAATCTTTTTTTTTTTTTTTTTTTTTTTTTTTTGCTCTTAATCTGTCTCTTTACTTACCCGTGAAGGACAAATCATCCCCTCTCTTAGCAGTAGCAAAGAACATTACCCTTACTTTTTACTTTTCTCTTTAAACTAATATACATAAGGTCACTTATAGTCATCTCCAAAATACAAAGCATTATAAATATCATTAGTGTTGGAACAAGGCCTTCTGAATTGGTTTTAGCTATGTAAACTATAAACCAAAGAGAAATTCTCTTTCAAAGTATATATTTTTTAATTTTAATGTCTTTATGTTTAAGCAAAATGTTAAAAAAAATAGTACGGTCAAAGGTGTATTTAATATAGGAAACTTTATTTAGTATCTTTTGTTCTACAGAGGCATTGGAGAAGATATTCTGCTAGAAAGAAGTTTCTGAAATTGAGATATTATTCAACCATTGTGCAATCTAGGATAAGAATGATAATTGCAGTTAATTCTTATAAGCGATATCTGTGGGCTACAGTTACAATTCAGAGGCGTTGGCGTGCTTGTTTAAGAAGAAACCATGATCAACAGAGATATAAAATGCTGAAAGCATCAGCCCTTGTAATTCAGTCTGTGTTCAGAAGATGGAAACAACGCAAACTGCAATTGGAACTGAAAGCTACCACAGTATTGCAGAGAGCTTTTCGAAAATGGAGTGCCAGGAAAAGAGCTCAAGAAAAATCTGCTGTTGTCATACAGTCATGGTATAGAATGCACAAGGAATTGCGAAAATACAATCACATTAGATCTTGTGTTGTTATCATTCAGGCCAGATTTCGATGCCTTCAAGCTCAAAAGTTATATACAAGGAAAAAGGAAGCGATATTGACTATACAGAGGTACTACAGAGCGTATGTAACAGGGAAGGCTGAACGAGCCAGTTATTTGCAGAAAAGGGCTGCCGCCATTCAGCTCCAAATGACCTTCAGGAGAATGAAAGCTCGGGCCTTGCACAGGCAGAGTAGAGCTGCTTGTATTTTACAGGCCTACTGGAGAATGAGGCGAGACAGAGCTCGATTTCTAAACCTTAAGAAAAGTGTCATCAAATTGCAGGCACATGTAAGAATGCACCAGCAATTCCAGAAGTACAAGAAGATGAAGCATGCCGCGCTCATACTCCAGCTTCATTTCAGGGCTTTTGTTTCCGCCAAGAAAGCTCTGGCCTCTTACCAGAAAACTCGTTCTGCTGCCATTGTCCTACAGTCTGCATTTAGAGGGTGGCAAGCCAGAAAAAAGTTTAGATACATCCTCACATGTATTACAAAGATTCAATCATCTTTTCGAGCTCAGAGTTCCAGAAAAAAGTTTCTGAGCCTTAAAAAAACTACCATAAAATTGCAGTCAGTTGTCAAGATGAAACAAACTCGCAAGCACTATTTGCATTTAAGACAGTCAGTGTTGTTGATTCAGCAATGGTATCGTGCCACCAAAGTGGCCCTCCGCCAGAGAGAGGAATACTTGAAGCTGCAGAAATCTTGTGTGAAACTCCAAGCTTTTGTTAGGGGATACCTGGTTCGAAAGCAGTTGAGATTGCAAAGAAAAGCTGCTGTTGCACTACAGGCTTACTTCCGAATGAGAAAGATGCGGCAGCACTACCTGAAGGTTTACAAAGCATCTCTCGTCATTCAGAACTACTACTATGCATACAAAGCACAGGTCAATCAAAGGAAGAACTTCTTACAAGTCAAAAGAGCAGTCACTTGCTTGCAGGCAGCTTATAGGGGGTACAGAGTACGCCAGCTAATCCAACACCAATCTGCCGCAGCTCTCAAAATTCAAACTGCTTTCAGAAGTTATAGTCAAAGGGTGAAGTATCAATCTCTGCGTCAGAGTACCATCAAGATTCAGAGATGGTACAGGGCCCACAAGACTGTTCAGAAGATAAAAACACAGTTTCTAAAGGTAAGGGCTGCTGTGATTTCTCTCCAGTCTGCTTATCGTGGTTGGAGAGTTCGGGAGCAGATCAGAAGGGAACATCAAGCTGCAGTACAGATTCAGTCTGCTTTTAGAATGGCCAAGGCCCAGAAACAGTATAGGTTGTTAAAAACAGCAGCGTTGATCATCCAGCAACGCCTGAGAGCATGGGCTCTTGGAAAGAAGCACCACGCGGAGTATATGGCACTCCGGCACGCAGTCCTTGTGCTTCAGTCCATCTGGAGGGGTAAAAGAGTCAGAAGGCAGATTCAGAAGGAACATGAATGTGCAGTCATCATACAGGCACACTATCGAATGTATGTGCAACAAAAGAAGTGGAAAACCATAAAAAGAGCTGCTCATGTGATTCAAGTGTATTATAGGGCTTACTGCATTGGAAAGAAACAGTGTCATTTGTACTTGAAAACCAGAGCAGCGACAGTAGTTCTACAATCAGCTTACCGCGGTATGAGAGTAAGAAAAGAAATAAAGCAGTGGACCAAGGCGGCAGCCACTATACAGGCTAGGTACCGAGCTCACAGAACCAGAAAGAAATATGCCTCCTTCAGAGCTTCAGCTATTATGATTCAGAGATGGTATAGAAATATTAAAATTGCAGACTGTCAACGTAAAGAATATCTTAATTTGAAGATGACAGCCACTAAACTACAAGCTGTTTATAGAGGTTTTAGAGTAAGGAGACATATTCAACATATGCACCTGGCAGCCACTGTTATTAAGGCCATGTTTAAAATGCACCAGTCTAAAATGAGATACCAGAAACTGAGAACAGCAGCTGTTGTAATTCAAGTAAGATACAGAGCCTATTATCAAGGTAAAAGTCAGCGGGCAAAGTACTTGACAATTCTGAAAGCTATATCTGTTCTTCAGGCAAGTTTCAGAGGAGCAAGAGTTAGACAGACTCTAAGGAAGATGCAGGTAGCAGCCACGCTCATTCAGGCAAACTATAGACGATACAGGCAGCAAACACAGTTTAACAAATTAAAGAAAGCAACAATAACAGTACAACAACAGTACCGGGCAATGAAGGAAAGAAACAGACAATTTCAAAGGTATAACAAATTGAGGCATTCTGTGATATGCATTCAGGCTGCTTATAGGGGCATGAAAGCCAAAAGACGTTTAAGAGTTATGCATTTAGCTGCAGCTCTTATTCAGAGGAGATTTAGGACTCAAATGATGAGAAGAAGATTCCTATCCCTCAGAGAAACTGCTGTCTGGATTCAGAGGAAGTATCGTGCCAATGTCTGTGCAGGGTACCACAGACAACAATTCCTACGCTTGCAAAGGGCAGCCATTACAATCCAAGCATCGTACAGGGGGTGGCTGGTAAGGAAAAAGGTGCAAGAGATGTCCAGAGCTGCCAGGCTCATTCAGACTGCTTTTAGAATGCACACAGCCCGTGTGAGATATCAGGCCTTGCAACATGCCTCCATTGTAATCCAGCAGCGATATCGCGCAAACAGGGCTACAAAATTGCAGAGATATCAGTACCTTCAACTGAGGCATTCCGCTCTGATCCTTCAGGCTGCATTTAGGGGTATGAGGACTAGAAGGCTTTTGAAAACCATGCATTTCTCTGCAACCCTCATTCAGGGCAGGTTTAGATCACTAATGATGAGGAAAAGATTCATTTCCCTCAAGAAAGCGACTATTTTCATTCAAAGGAAATATAGAGCCACCATTTGTGCCAAGCATCACCTGCGCCATTTCTTGGAGTTAAGAAAGGCAGCAATTATAATCCAGTCATCCTTCCGAAGGCTGCAAGTAAGAAAAATGGTGCAGGAGCAGCACAGGGCTGCCCTTCTTATCCAGGCTGCTTTCAGAATGCATAGAACATATGTTACATTTCAGACTTGGAAACACGCCGCCGTTCTGATTCAGCAACATTACAGAGCATATAGAGCTGCAAAACTACAAAGGGAAAATTATATCAGACAACGACGTTCTGCTGTGGTCATCCAGGCTGCTTATAAGGGAATGAGAACAAGGCAGCTGTTGAGAGAAATGCGCAGAGCCGCCATCATAGTTCAAAGCATGTATAGAATGTATAGGCAATATTCTTACTACCAAGATGTTCAGTGGGCTATAAAGGTTATACAGAAAAAATACAGAGCAAATCAATACCAGAAAGCACTTCTACGCAATGCACTTGAGAAAAGAGCCTGCATTCAGGCAGGTTTACCGGTCGGGGCCCTAAGGCAACAGATGCAGAAAGAGCATCATGCAGCCGTTATTGTCCAGAAGTACTTCAGAGCCTATAGAACAAGGAAGCACTATCTCCACTTCAGAGCAGCAGTAGTTTTTGTTCAGAGAAGATATAGAGCCCACACTGCACTGCGAACCCCAGCAGCCATCTGCACGCAGACTCCTAGAGGCTTCCAGAGGGATGTCCAGCACATGCACCAGGCTGCCACTTTGATTCAATCCTTTTACCGAATGCATAGGGCCAAAGCTGATTACCAAGCAAAGAAAACTGCAGTTGTCATCATACAGAAGTATTACAGTTCATATGTTAGGGTACAAAGGGAAAGAGAACAATACCTAGCTGCTCAGAAATCTGTAGAAACTCTTCAGACCACTGATAGAGGCAAGAGCGCTGGACAGGAATGGAAAAGCCTACTTGAAGGAAAGGTGACGGCGACTGTTAACCAAGCTGCCTTCCTCTGCGACAGAGCTAGGGCTCAGGAGGAGGCAGATCAGAGCTCAGTGGCTGGGGCTCATCAATGGGGAAATGGTAACGCCTCCCTGGTGGCTCATTCAGGGGAGGCACAGAATCATTCTCATGGCACAGCTGCAGTGACAACTCCAGAGACTTTTCCAACCAGGGACGTCGCTCTGGAGACCCAGCTGGCGGCTGCCCAATGTGTCCAGCGCTTCCTTCACATGGCCGTGCATCGGCGGCGCTTTGAGCGGCGGAAGAGAGCGGCCATCACTTTGCAGCAGTATTTCAGGATGTGGCGAGCTCGAAAATGGTTCTTACGGTACAGAAAAGCAGCCGTGGTCTTACAGAATCACTTCCGAGCCTTTTTGTCTGCAAAACATCAAAGAAACGTTTATTTGCAACTTAGAAGCAGCGTCATCATTATTCAGGCTTGGACTAAAGGATTTCTCCAGAAGCGGAGGTTTCAGGAAATGAAGGTTAATGCCAGACAAATTCAGGTATGTATGTATTTAATGGTCAAGCTTTCATTCTTTGCCCCGTATTTGCTAGAACTTATTTAACGAGTTAAAGCAGATTATGAGAATCATGCCTTGAGTTTGTATCTTCTAAAGTGAACTATTCTTGAGAGTAGGAAAAGGGCAATGATAATTCAGTGAAGACAACCCAGAACTGGGCTTTTCTGCCCACAGTCACACCAGTGCCTTTCAACACTCCCAGGGGATTTTGAGCGCTTAGGTTGATGAATGGAATTTCTTTATTAGATAGTTCATTTCTTTATATATTTTTAAGGTAACATGCCTATTTGGCATGGCCCAGGCCAAATGATATATCTTTATTCTACTATTATTTGGAGCTACTAGAATAGCTAGACTTACAAACTATATTCAGAGTCTTTGGCTCTTTTGGTTCTCAAAGCATTTTTTATATTTGCTTTATTCTCCAAATGTGTGAGCTTTGTTTCTTTTATTTTTTACCACACCAGCGAAGTTCAAGACTAACTCCTGACTCTGTATTCAGGACGTGAGGCCGTGCTTGGTACCAGAGATCAAACCCAGCTATGTACAAATTCACCTGTGTACAAAACCAGCACATTACCTTCTGTACTACACTCAGCCCTGAAATGTGTGAGCTTTGTACAATGTGCTCTCTCTCTTTTTAAATACGGAGGAACTAAGAAAGGTTAATAATTTGCTGATGTGAGAGAAAGAGAAATGGAGAGATTGGGAATTGATTCTGGGTACTTTTCGCTGTTATTTCTAGTCTAATAGGAATAAGCCAAGTTTTGTAAGTTGGTATGTAAGTTGGTATGCGGCTGGGTTCCTGGTAAGCTTGGAAGCAATGTTTTGCTCAATAGATGCTCAGAGCTAACAGTGTGCCTACTGCTCTTTAGTGAGTAAATCTGAAATGAGCATTTGGTTTGCTGTGATTCTTAAAATTACACATAGCTTCCTTAAAAGCTCTTCATAGTAGCCAGTCTGCTATCTAGAATGTAGCTTGAATTTTTATTAAGTGTAATTTGTCCTGTAATAACATATTCCCTGTACCTATGGTAAGGAAAGATGTAATCCTTTCCTACCTCACAATGAAAATAATTTTTAAAAATGAGAAGAAAAGATCTCTTAGATATTGGTCCTAGTATGAACTTTCAGAAAAACTTCATTATTAGCTATAAACTTACCTAGGTTTAGAAATCATACACATCTCCTCTTATCTATGAAGTATGATGTTTTAAGTTTAAATGTAAAAAAAGTCATTATACCACCTCCCTTTACATTGAAGAAATTTGCAACCTTTGACAGCTCTCCCTTATTTGTTTGTATATTGTTATATTTGAAAAATTATTAAAGTATTTTCATTTATTAATGTCAGTTTTTTTGCAAATTATTTTTGCAAAATTTTCACTACAGAGACATCAAGCTGCTTGTTTGATCCAAGCATGTTTTCGAGGCTATAAAGAAAGGCAAGCGTTTCTCCAGCAGAAGACTGCCGCCATTACCATACAGAGGTACCTGCGAGCCAGGGAGGCTAGGAAGCAGGTAAGGATAAAATACATTAAACTGAAAGACTCTACAGTTATTTTGCAAGCACTGGTGCGTGGCTGGCTAGTAAGAAAAAGAGTAAGTACTTTTTACTTATTGTTTCTATGAAAGTATTCTGACATGAAATTGTGTTAAGAAAATTAGGATATGGATGGTGATTTCAGAATTAATATGACAGTTAACTCAATTTATTGGGCAGAGCCACTAGTTCTGCAATCCTTTTCCCACAAATATTTACCACCAAAAATTCAAATTCAACTTGCTCTTTGTAATAAGCAGAAAGGACTGAAAGAAATTGGGTGGGGGGCATATCTGAAGGGGGTTACTTGTCACTCAAGTAGCCTTTTTTATCCATTAAGGGACTCTGAGGTGCTACAGCTACCCCTGATGTGGTCAGTGCACGCCAGAGAGACTCCGTTGGGAGTTCATGATGTTGGGGGCATCTGTTGGTATTTACCAGTGCTTCAGGTCAATGGAAGAGAAACGATAAAACAAGTTAAAAGAAAACTTTTGCATTGGTGTTCATTAACTATAAATTCAAAGTCTTAATGTATTACTGAAAACCCATGTCTTGTACTGGCTGGTGCAAATCTGTCTAATACTGGGGAAATTATTCAAGTAATTTCGTTATCACTCTCAAAAACTTCTGCTTGAAATGCTGTATAGCTTTGGGAGGGGCTTTAATTTTCATATATTTTCCTCATTATAATTAGTACATAGCAAAACCTTGTTAGTATTGGATAATCTGGTGATAGTTGAGTTAGTTTTTCTTTCTGTACCCTCAATTAAAATTTTTATTACTGGAAATATTGTATAAAAAAAGGGTTATAATCATAAGATAGTTACAATGTAACTTTTAATATTTTCATTAAAATTATCTAAATTTAAAATTAATGTATCATTGCTAATTTGCTTTCTCCTCTAGATTTTAGAACAACAAGCCAAAATTAAGCTACTTCGTTTCACAGCCGCTGCATTTTATCACTTGTCTGCTTTTAAAATTCAAAGAGCATTTAAACTTCATCTTGCTGTAAAGAATGCTAAGAAGCAGATCGATTCAGTCATCTATATCCAGGTTAGCTTCTCTTTACAGTACAATCATGTGATGTTTTTCTTTTATACATATTTTTATATTCAACATACATATTTTCATATTAAATTTTTTTAAGTAAAATATTTTATGCAGAGGACATATATTATTTAGTCTTTTGCTCTATAGCTTTTCGGGGATTTGATGGGTTATAAATAGGTTGATGTTTTATGAAAGACTGCAGAATTAAGTTGTAAACTTTTCTCTGGAATAGTTTACACACTAGCAATATCTAGGTGTGCTTATTTCTCTATACCCTGTTCAATACATGGCATTGGAAAGCTTTCTGATTTTTGGGTGAAAAGTAATTTTTATTTTTCTGTTTTAGATTTCCTAAATTGCTAGAAATATTAAAATATTTTGCATGTTCCTTATTTATATGATCTGTATATTATATGATCTGTATAGGAAATGCATTGTTTGTTTTTATGTACATATCGTCAAATGTTTAATATAGAAGTATTGATTGAAGAGACAGGTGCATTGTGGTATAGTTTATATAAATTGTAAAATGAAGGCAGTGCTCAGGGTTAAATACAATCACTGATCTGGAAGAATTTTTTTTTTGATTATCAAGATATAATGTCACTGGGAGGATTGGAAGTTAACTTCAATATGATGTTTGTCTATTTCATTTCTGATCTGTGTGTAAGTATATTTAAAAAACCTGAAATTAGAAATATTTTCACGTAAACAGAAATGGTTTCGAGCAAGATTACAGCAAAAGAGGCTTATTGAGAAATACCGTAACATCATAAAAATTGAGCAGGAAGCTCGAGAACGTCTGAGACAGCAAAATCAGGCAGCATCAGTAATACAGAGAAATGTCCGCCGTTTTCTCCTCCAGAAAAAACAGGAAAAGGTCAATAATGGAATCAAGAAAATTCAGGTAACTGGGAATGACTGATACCTTATCTTATGTAAAAGAATGTTTTGTGTGTATGTTTATTCATATTTATATTTCTCATTAGGAAAATTTATTTATTTACTTATTTACTTATGATTTTTGGGTCGCACGTGGCAATGTACAGGGGTCACTCCTGGCTCACGTACTCAGGAATTACTCCTGGCGGTGCTCGGGGGACCATATGGGATGCTGGGAATCGAATGCAGGTTGGTCACATGCAAGGCAAAGGCCCTACCCACTGTGCTATTGGAAAATTTTAGAACTGAGTTGAAAAAACATCTAAGTGAATTGAAGATGCAGAGTTTCTGATCACATTATATAAATATTTTGAGAATACACCCTTTCTGGAAATAGATACAAAATCTCAAATATTAATGGGTTGTAGCCTTAAAAATTATTGCATTTATCCCTTTAAGGCATTATGGAGAGGATATGCAGTACGAAAGAAGAATGATTGTAAAAAAATTAAGGCTATACGACTAAGTCTCCAGGTTGTTAATAGAGAGATCCGAGAGGAAAATAAGCTCTACAAAAGATCCGCACTTGCACTTCATTATCTTTTGACATATAAGCACATATCTGCTGTGATTGAGGCATTAAAACACCTGGGTGAGTTCATGATGACAGTCTCTTATGTGAGGAGAGATGTAGTTTAACTTAGAGCATACAACAAATATAGTGCACACTAACTGACGCCTCATTTTGCTGCTGTGCATTTACCTGTTGTGACTTGTTTTTCCCCTTTCAGAGGTAGTTACCAGATTGTCTCCCCTATGTTGTGAGAACATGGCCCAAAGTGGAGCAATTTCTAAAATCTTCGTTTTGATCCGAAGCTGTAATCGCAGTGTTCCTTGTATGGAAGTTATCAGATACGCTGTTCAGGTCTTGCTCAACGTCGCGAAGGTAGTTGTCTGTTTTGATAATGGTTATAATATTTGATCCAGCAAATTAAGTTTTTCATCACTGATTACTAGCACTTTTTTTGTTTCTGAGAATCTTACATAGGTCAATAGAGGAGTCTTGTCTAACACATTTGTGAGTAGGAATGGTAATAATTTTTACAATTTTTTTCTCTTTTAATTATAATGGTGGCAGCTAACATATTGAGTACAGGATATATGCTAACATCTTTGATGTGACATTTAATTAAACCCTTAATATGATCTTTCAAAGTAACTTATTCCTATTTTATAGAGAGATAATAAGTATTTTTTTTTAGAAATTATGTCCTTGCCTAAAAACTGATTGTGATAAATATTGTAAAACTGAATTTGGATCCATTTCTGTCTACCTTTATAATTTATTTTTTATTCACTGCATTTGGCTGATATAGTCATAATTATATCTGTGAAGCATGATGGAGATTAAGCTATTACTTAATCATCCTGTAATTCTCGAGATAACTCAGATTTGTTTTTTGGCTTTAGCATTGTAATGGATATCTGTATCAAACTATAATGTATTCAATTCAGAAGTATTTCATAGTAGTGTATCTTTCTACCCACTGCTTCAGGCTTAACTTAGAGTACTTTAATTTTACTCAATATGGGGTTTTGTTTTTGTTTTTGAGAGGGAGTCCTTAAGAAGAAACTTTAATACCAGACTTCTAGGTTTGAATCCCAGCTTTGTAGCTTATAGGTTTCTTAGCTCTATGTTTCATATTCTTAAAAATGGAGATTGCAATAATCATACCTCCTCATGACATTATTGTGAGTTTGTTTTTCCCTCTGAGAAGCGTCCCACCAGTGTTCAGGGGTCCTGGGACCCCCTCCTGATGATACTTGCCAGGCATGGGTTCATGGGTGCAGAGCTGCTTCACCCCTGCAGCGCCAGGGGGCACCAGACTCCCCTGCAGTACTTGGGGATATACTGTGAGGTTTGAGTGATTCAACAAAGTCAATAACACTTAATACAAAATTGTCTGATATGGTGTTAAGCATTAATTGTTTAGTTAATATTTTAATGTAAATATCATTATTATTCATATCATGCAAATTTCAATATGACTCTAATAATACAATTATATGATTAAGGCATAAACATAGATTCCATACAAATTAGGATCAATTAAAATATTTATTTTTGCAGCAATCTTTCTTTTAGAAAGAATGTAATAGGGCAACTAAATCCAACCTTTTCGTTATCATGCTATCACCCCGTGATTAGCCATTACAGATAAGTCACTACTTTGTTGGAGACATCTCACTAAAATGGTCTTATCATTAAGTTTGTTTTTGTCTCAGCATATTCATTTTCTTAGCTTTTCATTGTGTGTGTGTGTGTGTGTGTGTGTGTGTGTGTGTGTGTGTAATTTCACAGTTAGGTTGAATAAAAAGAAAGTTACATAGTAGATCCACAGACAGGATGGATCCAGAAATGATAGTAATAAACACCATTTTGTGAAGTCCTCTGTCTTTGCTCTGAATGGTGCTGAATGTTGTCCCTAAACTCTGTTGGTTGGGTTGTTCCTCAGAATTGTCTGTATGTCTTTTAACTTTTCATTTTATTGTGTTCTCTTTGAGTATGAGAAAACGACGTCAACTATTTATGCTGCAGAGAACTGTATTGACACGCTCCTAGATCTTTTGCAAATGTACAGAGAAAAGCCTGGGGACCGAGCTTCAGACAAGGGTGGGAGCATCTTCACAAAAACCTGCTGTTTGTTAGCTGTGTTGCTGAAGACAACAAACCGAGCTTCCGTATGTCTTAATAAGTCTACTTTTCTTCAGTTGTTTTTAGTTTATTTGGAGGCCATAACCAGTGATGCTCAGGGGTTACTCATGGCTCTGCTCCAAGAGGATTACTCCAGGCATACTGGGGGCAACCATATGGGATGCCAGGGATCAGGATCGAACCCAGGTCAGCCACATGCAAGACAAATGCCCTACCCACTGTACAATCTCTCCGGCCTCTTGACTTTTTTTTCTAAAATAGGTTCTTAGATCTTAGGCTTAGGCTTCTTTCAATAATGATTCCAACTAATATGCAGTTGTATATGTGTCCAGGGCTGCCTTTTGTGCAGAGAGTGTGACTTGCCAATTAGTATTGAGGAAACTGAACACTAAAATTAGAATTCTTCCAGCTCTGTGAATACCTGTTTCTTAATCACTTGAGGACGTAACAGATTGTCTTAGCTAAGTCAAAGACCAGGAGTATATGGCTCCTTGTCATCATTTCCCAGCTCTTCTGTGAAGAGACCCTGGAATGATATGTTCAGTGTCATAGGATAGTGTCCCCCAAACAGTGGGGACTATAGATGGAGCTTAAACAAGGAGCTAGTTCTAGTTCAAGTGTCATCATCCATCACTGCTGATTACTGAAGAATTACTGAAGAATATATGTGGAAGGGTGTGTGTGCCCAAAAAGGGCGGGTGGGCAGGTGGAGAGTGGGGAGAGAAAGAGAAAGTGCTGCCATAGAGTACAGGCTAGGAGGGGTGGTGATAGGAGACAGTGTTGGTGGGAAATATACACTGGTGGAGAGATGGGTGTTGGAGCATTGTATGACAGCCCTAACCATGAACAGCTCTATAACTGAGTGTCTCACAGTGATTCAGTTAAAAAACAATTATAGGTTAAATTTATTTTTAACACCTTGAGACTTTCAGTCTTCTGCCCTCTACAAGTTTAACATGAAGTTCATCTCTCTATTCTTTCTTGTCCAATCCAGACATTTATCACAGAATTCTCCCACATCTTATATAGAATCCGTTCACTATTATATGTCTTAGATGTTGATTTGTTTTCAAAGGCATAAAATATATTTTTTCTCTTGACTTGGATCATTTGACTATGATTTTTTCCATAGGGTCAAGTCTTATTTTTAACTCTTGAAAATCAGCAAACTAATCAGCAAACACAAAAGACATTTGTGTGCTAACTAAAACTCATTTTGTGTAGTAACATACCAATTATAATAGAAGTTCTCATATATATGCCAGAGGAAAATATTTTGTTAAATAAGAGAATTAATTTTTAGCAGTACAATTAAACTGTAAATATTCTATAAACCACTTTTTTTAATATATGTAATTTAAAAATGCACATACTGATTTTTTCTTAATTATTTTAATTATTTAATTATTATGGTTTTTATGTGTATTAAATTAAATACATACATAGTTCTATTGTTTAGAAAAGTGCTCAAAAGGAAAATCACAAGAAATTCCATTTTCAAGAACATTATACTGCTATTATGATAATAAAGCTTATAAAGGTTTACTGATTTATGTCAAATATGACAATTTGTTTAGTATCCAGGTAGGTTGGAAAATGTAAAAGTAGAGCAAAAGCTAATAAAATGAATATTAAAGATATTTGACTTTCATAGTGTGTTGCAATCTTGAATTGATTGTAATTCATTGCAAAATGAGTTTGATTGGAGGGCAATATTTTGCTTTTATTTTTAACTTTTATTTTAACTTTTATTTTTAACATAGCATAGATATGAAAAATAAGAAATCATCCAGGTTAAATAACCACAAAATTATTCACCATATAATCATATTTTCATTTTAAAAAGTAATTTCATGTTTGGGAATAAAGATTGTGACATCAAGATCTGATCTTCTGAAACAGTGTAAGGCACATAGAACTCAAATAAAAATACTTGAGTCTCCACTAACATACATATAAGCCTTCTGTATTTTATTGTATTGGTCTTTGGCTGACACATGAGGATGCTCAGATTATTCCAGAGTGTTTGAATCACTCTGATCAGCTCAGCGAACTAATATTTATATTTTCTTTTTAAAAAATTTTATTTAGAGCATTACAAAGCTGTTCATGATAGAATTTCAGTCATACAGTATTCCAACACCCATCCCTCCACCAGTGTGTATTTCCCAGCACCAGTATTCCCAGGTTCCTTCCCATCATCCCCTACCCCCCAACCCTTGCCTGTCTCTTTGGCAGGCACTTTTCTTCTCTATCTCTCTTCCTTCTCCTCTCCTCTCTCCTCTCTCCCCTCTCCTCTCTCCTCTCCTCTCCTCTCCCCTCTCCCCTCTCCCCTCTCCCCTCTCCCCTCTCCCCTCTCCCCTCTCCTCTCTCCTCTCTCCCCTCCCCTCCCCTCCCCTCCCCTCCCCTCCCCTCCCCTCTTTTCTCTTTCTCTCTCTCTCTCTCTCTCTCTCTCTCTCTCTCTCTCTCTCTCTCTCTCTCCCCCCCCCCCTCTGCATTTTGGGCATTGTGATTTGCAATATTGATACTGAAAGGTTATCCAGAATATCCCTTACCTACTTTTAACCCTCAGATCTTGTCCAGTGTTATCATTCCCGGCTATTATTGTCATACCAGTCTCTTCTCTATCTTACCTGCCCTGAACCCCAACAACATTTGTGGTTAGTTCCAACCATTGACTATTCCTCTTAACCCCTGTTTATCCTGGCCATAGATATTATTCTTCTACTATATATATTTTTATATCCCACAAATGAGTGCAGTTATTCTATATCTGTCCTTTTCCTTCTGATTCATTTCACTCAGCATGATACTCTTCATATGTCCACCATTTATAGGCAAATTTATGGCTTAATTTTTTGTGACAGCTGCATAGTATTCCATTGTGTAGGAGTGTCATAGTTTCTTTATCCATTCGTCTGTTCTTGGGCACTCGGGTTGTTTCCAGATTCTAGCTAAGGTGAATAGTACTGCAGTGAACATAGGAGTGCAGATGGTGTTTCTGCTGTGTGTGTTTGGGCCCCCAGGGTATATTCCCAGACTGGTGTTGCTGGCTCAAATGGGAGCTCAACTTCTAGTTTTTTGAGGAATGTCCATATTGTTTTCCAAATAGGCTGGACCACTCAGCATTCCCAACAGTGAAGGAGGGTCTCTTTCTCCCTACATCCACACTGACACCAGTTGCTTTTGTTCTTTTGGATGTGTGCCAGTCTCTGTGGTCTGAGATGATGTCTCATTGTTTTGATCTGCATCTCTCTGATTATTAGTGATGAAGAACATTTTTTTATTTGCCTTTTGTTCGTTTGAATTTCCTTTGAGAAAGTTTCTGTTCATTTCATCACCCCATTTTCTGATGCGATTGGGTGTTTTTTTCATGTAGAGTTCAATCAGTGCCTGTGTATCCTTGATATTAAATACCCCTTATCAGAAGGATATTGGGTGAATATCCTTTCACATTTCATAGACTGTCTTTGTATTCTGGTCACTGTTTCTTTTTTTGAGATGAAGAAACTTCTTAGTTTAATGTAGTCCCAGTTGTTTATCTTTGCTTCACTTGCTTGGTCAGTCAGTGGTGCTTCATCCTTGAAGATAACCTTTAGGTTCAATATCATGGAGAGTTCTGCCTGCATTTTCCTCCAATGTACCTTATGGATTCAGGTCTGATACTGAGGTCTTTAGTCCATTTTGATCTGTTTTTTGTGCTTGGTGTTAGAGAGACGTCCAATTCTTTTTTTTTGCATGTAGTTGTCCAGTTTTTCCAGCACCACTTGTTGAAGAGGCTTTCCTTTCTCCACTTCACATCTCTTGCTCCTTTATCAAAGATTAAGTGATTGTATACTTAAGAACCTGTGTCAGAATATTCAACTCTGCTCCATTGGACTGCAGGTCTGTTTCTATTCCAGTACCATGTCTTTTAATTACTACTCTGCTTTGTAGTACAGTTTGAAGTTGGGGAAGGTGATGCCACCCATCTTTATTTTTTTTCCCAAGGATTGCTTAAGCTGTTAGTGGGGGTTTATTACTCCATATGAACTTCAGGAGTGTTCTTTCTATTTCTTTGGAAAGTGAGTCCAGTCATACTGTCTGTCCCTCTCTCTCTGACTCATTTCACTCAGCATGATACTCTCCATGTCCATTCATTTATAAGCAAATTTCATGATTTGCATTTATAAGAAAATTTCAAGCAGATTTTTTTTGGTAGCTGTGTAATATTACAGCCACTATTGTATAGATATACTATAGTTTTTCTTCATCCAGTCATCTTTTCTTGTGCACTTGGGTTTTTTCCAGATTCTGGCTGTTGTAAATAATGCTACAATGACCATGGAAGTTGAATTTTTTGATGCATGCCAGTCTCCATGGTGTGAGATGATATCTCATTGTGTTTTGTTTGCATGTCACTGATGATTAGCAATGTAGAGCACTTTTTTCATGTGTCTTTTGGCCATTTGTATTTCTTCTTTGAGGAAGTTTCTGTTCATTTCTTCTCTCCATTTTTTGATGGGGTTGGAAGTTTTTTCTTGTAGAGTCCTACCAGTGCCTTCTATATCTTGGATATTAACCCCTTATCAGATGGGTTTGCTCAAGCGGGCCCAGTAACGTCTCCATTGGAGACTTTGTTGTTACTGTGTCTGGCATATCGAATACTCTCGGTAGCTTGCCGGGCTCTCCGAGAGGGGCGGAGGAATCGAACTCGGGTCAGCCATGTTGGCCGCGTGTAAGGCGAACGCCCTACCCGCTGTGCTATCGCTCCAGCCCATCAAATGGGTTTTAGGTAAATAATTTTTCTCATTCCGTGGACCGTCTTTGTATCTCGGTCACCATTTCTTTTGAGGTGCAGAAGCTTCTTAGTTAATATAGTCCCATTTATTAATCTTTGCTTCCAATTGTTTGGTCAGTGGTTTGTGATTCTTAATGGCTCTTAAATTTACGGTATGGTGTTTATTGTGATTAATTTTACTAACAAAATAGAGGTACAAAACTTGATTCTTTTTAGTGTTAGTTAAATGTGATTTTTTTTTTTTCCAGGACGTTCGAAGTAGGGGCAAAGTTGTCGACCGTATTTACAGTGTCTATAAGCTCACAGCTCGTAAGCATAAAATGAATATGGAAAGGATACTTGTCAAACAAAAGAATTGTTCTTTAAATATCACCTTAATTCCAGAAACACCTGTAAGAACCAGAGTAGTTTCAAGGTAAGCTGTGAATCTGCTCTATAGTTTCTTTCACCATTCATTCATTCATTCCTTTAGCAAATATTTAAGACTACTAAAAGTAAGCTCTTGTGCTGAACTAGGGGAGTACTAACATGCAGTCAAGAATAGATTCTTTGGTAAATCTAAACTAATTCTCTGTAAACAGTGAAATAGTAACTCTATTGAATATTATTAAACAATTAATTTTATTTTAAAAAGTATTAAAACTAATGATTTTTATTATAATTTTGGCCATGACATATTTTCTTTGTACACAAGCTATGATGGGAGCTGCCAAAATTTCCTCTTGGTTAAAATATCAACTTCCTTCTCATATGTAATCACCTTAATCATTTGAAATTCTTCCTAGAGATGTTCTTTCTAATAACTTGTATTTGTTACTGCAGCTGCTATGGCAGATTGTCACAAATTTAATTAGGTTTAACAACATTTTTTTTTATTCTTCTTGAAACCAGAAGTTCTGAATCAGTCAGTAGGTGCTCCTTTTGCCCGAGACTCCAGGGAAGTAGCCCCTAACTCGTCCCTTTCTAGCTACTGGGTGTCCATTGTTCAGCTGCTATAGTCTTCTGTCACCTCTTGGGTTTCCTCTTCAGCTCCACCCCCACCCCCACCCCCACATCCCGCCCGTGTGTGTGTGTGTGTGTGTGTGTGTGTGTAAGTTTTTAAAATCGAGTCACTGTGAATTACAAAGTTAAAAAGTTATTCATGATTGTATTTCAGGCATACAGTGTTCCAACACTAATCCCTTCACCAATGTCCTCTTCCCTCCACCAGTGTCCCCAGTTTCCCTCCTGTCGCCTAGCCTGCCTCTATAGCAGGTACTTTTTTCATTCTTGCCTTTTAGGTACTGTGGTTTAATACCCTGTTTCTAATAGGTCATCATGCAGGCCATTGTACCTCTTTTCAGCACCTAGTCCTGATGCAGAATGAATGAGTACTTCCCGCTTTCATTGTCCTGCGGTTCCTTCCCGTTCTCCCCTTTCTCATCCCACCTTCCCATATGCCCCTCAGCCCCCACCACCAGCAAGCTTCCAAGTAAGAACTCTCCAGTTCTCCTATTCTTTGGGCTTGAGTCCCTTACTGTGTTTTTTTGTTTTTGTTTTTGTTTTTATCCCACAGATCTTTTTCTGTGTCTCAGAACTCACTTGCTGTTGAGTTTACAGTCAATCCAGATAATATAGAGTAATTTTCTCTTGAGATCTTTGAGTTAAGGACATCTGCCAGGAACCTTTTTGTAAATAAGTAACATTTACAAATTCTGAGATAAACCTTTAGGAGGCTCCGGGGAACAATCACACAGCCTACACAGTCCTATAGATATGCTAGCAGACTTATAGATATATTATTGCCTTAAGTAGTTTAAAACACATAAAACAGACTCATATAACTGTCAAGAGCAGGTAGCTGCATCCTGGGAACCTTCAATGTGCTGAACTTGTTTTTATTATACAGTATTGGCCTGTGTATGTTCAGGAGACTTGGCAATGAATACATAAATAAAGCAATAAAGATTGTGAATATTCTAGATACAAAATAATCAAGGCCTGCTGAAATAGGGTAACTGGGTAATCTCTGGGATGTACTTATGGGACGAGTTGAGGAGAGGATGTGTGTGTGTGTGTGTGTGTGTGTGTGTGTGTGTGTGTGTGTTAAGGGGAGGAAGCATTAAATTATCGATCTGGTTTTGGAAAGCTGGGAGGCCTGTGACATAAATAACAGGAAAATACAAATAAGTCAGTCCAAAATTAGGAATTCACCCCCCCCCCCCCCGCCCCGGACAGAATAATTAGTGTAGAGATAAAAGTGGGGGAACCATACACCTAAAGCCATGGAAATGAATGCAGTTACGTTGAAGGAAGAAAAGAAAGTGCTACACCGAATCCCAGGGTGACCTTAGTTTTCCTAGAAATCAAATAGATGAAGAGCCAATCACCAGCTCTGAGAGGAAGCACCAGCCAGAAAGGAAATGGTTCCAAAAAGAATCATGTCACTGGGTGTGCTGCTGAGAAGGCAGGTCACAATGAAAGATGCGCATTGGATTTGGCAAGATGGAGTTTATTACAAGGATTGATTTATAGACAAATGGAATACAATTGAGGAAAATTCATGACTTTATGATATTACTGTTGAGAACGGTAATGGGTAAACTTTATCCTTGAAGTTTGCTAGAGAAATAATTTGCTGTGATGCCAAACATGGGTAAAAGAAAATCAGATATTGCATTATTCTTAAATACACTCAGTGTAGACCTCATGGTTGCTGGAAAAATACTCTGGCTAATAAGTACAGAAGGAATGTGAAATGTATTTACTCATGGAGATCAACTCTAGATTATGACTGACAGAAGCTTTAGATGAATTGATGTGATATTCATTCTGAAAAAGTTAGATCATCAAATATTCTTTCTCCTAACACACAAAATTATCTTTTTTTTTTTTTTTGGCTTTTTGGGCCCCACCTGGCGATGCACAGGGGTTACTCCTGGCTCCGCACTCAGGAGTTACTCCTGGCGGTGCTCAGGGGACCATATGGGATGCTGGGAATCGAACCCGGGTTAGCTGCATGCAAGGCAAACGCCCTACCCGCTGTGCTATTGCTCCAGCCCCACAAAATTATCTTTTTAAGGATTCTTGTCACTAAAAACAACCCTGAAACAACTTGAACTTTTTTGTCCTATTACAAGTGTGACCTACAGACTGGTGTCAGTTATAAACCATGTCACTGCTCTGTGTTGAATACATTTCCTCTGTCAAGCAATTTAGAAACTTCTGTATTTAAAGTAAAAGTAAAGGCCCTCCCGTTGATCGTCGATTTGCTCGAGCGGGCCCAGTAACGTCTCCATTGGAGACTTTGTTGTTACTGTGTCTGGCATATCGAATACTCTCGGTAGCTTGCCGGGCTCTCCGAGAGGGGCAGAGGAATCGAACTCGGGTCGGCCATGTTGGCTGCGTGCAAGGCAGACGCCCTACCCGCTGTGCTATTTAACCTTATTACATTGTTTTCAACAATTTGTTGAGGTCTAATTTAATGTACCATAAATTTCACCTTTAAGTATAAAATATAGTGATTTCCTTCTGACAAATATTGGCCCTCTAATGTAGATTTATAGTAATATTCTTTCATCTGATGACATGAATTCAGAATATAATGTAGTGATTATGGTACAAGTTATTCATGTTCATTTATAGTTTGAAATTTATAGCAGGACTTCAGGTATAACTTTGCACTTTTTTAAAAAGTTACATTTTATATTTTAATTATTAGCATTTTCCTGATTGTACATTATTAATCAATTTTGATGGTTCAGGTTAGCTTTATTGTTTAATGTCTTCTTTAAATCCGCCTGTCCTCACACCCTCCCTCTCATTTTTATGACTTACTAATCCTCTATGATGTATGCGTCTTTGGTGCTGGGAATTTGCTATTTCTTGACATGGATTACATAGCATTTACATTTATAATCACTCAAGTATATGGCAGTTGTAAGTTGGTTTTATGCATGCTTATTTCTCAGTAACAAGTATAATCTGCCTCCTAATTTATTAATGGTCTGGAGCGAAGCACAGTGGGTAAGGCGTTTGCCTTGCAAGTGGCCAATATGGCCGACCCGAGTTCAATTCCTTCACCCCTCTCGGAGAGCCCGGCAAGCTACCGAGAGTATCTCGCCTGCACGGCAAAGCCTGGCAAGCTACCCGTGATGTATTCGATATGCCAACACAGTAACAACAAGTTTCACGATGGAGATGTTACTGGGCCTGCTCGAGCAAATCAATGAATAACGGGAGGACCGTGATCGTGAATTTATTAATGGAAAGGCTAATCATGTAAGCATCAAAGGAGCCAGGATTACAATTCAGGGAGATGGAGAAAAATGGTCTTGTAGTAATAGCAGAAGTAGGAAGACTGCCTTCAGTTAGAGAACTTTGAAAAGGAAATATTTCATTTAGGAGGAGCCTACTATTTGTTTTAGGTGAAGGCAACTCTTTGAAGGGAAAGACTTTATTAATCCAGACTTTCATTCCTTTCAGACTTAAACCATACTGGGTTTTGAGAAGAGATAAAGTGGAAGAAATTACAAATCCTCTGCAAGCTATTCAAATGGTGATGGATACACTTGGCATTCCATATCAATAGATGTAAACATTTCTAGTCTGTAAAGGAAAAGGAAACTTTAATCATGAATATGTAAAGTTACTTTCTTTGTACAACATTTAAAATCTGTTTTTATATTAAACTTGTAAATATGTACCAGATAAATTGTTTATGTTCGTTTATTTGCTTTATGTATGTAATGTCAGTAGCTTTTAAATAATTGTAACTGTCATTCCTGTCTATTATCTTTAAATATATTGTTTTGAAATTAACCTCTTCTTTTTTCCTCTATCTCTCCCCTTCCTTAATTATTGTGGGGGTAACTGAGCGGTGTGATGAGGCTGCATTCTCATCAGGCTCTGGAACTCCCACAGCTCTCAGTTGTGTTATCTGCCTGGGCATAATCATATACTTAAGGAGAAAGAATTGGTTGTTACTCCAGCTTTGTAGAGAAATGGAGGTATTTAAAAACAAAAAGCAAATAGAGAAAATTTCAGATTATGCCAACTCACTCAGAGTATAAAGAGAATAAATGAACTTCACAAAGGCCAGTGGGTTGCACTTGCATTTATTTCTTCAACTGAATAGAGCCGTCCAGACAGGCCATCAAACAACTCCAGGGAAAATCTGAAAACAGCCCACCTGATACAAGCGTAGGAGAAAAACTCATCAAATGCCACAGACCCAAAGTTTGATTAAACGTTGCTCTTGATTTTGTCAACACAAAGTACTGGTTTTATCGTAACTATGAAAGGCTTCTAGTTTCTGATATGCTGACACTTATTTGAAATGTGTTTTTTAAATTTTTTAATAATTGCAAAAATTGAAACTATGTTGTTAGCTCTTCGGTCTACTTATTACTATGTAACTGGTGGACACATCATGCTCAGTGACCAAACATGCCTCTTTTTTTTTTTTTTATATTTGTCCATTTGCAACACCATTTTTTTTTTTTTTTTTTTTTTTTTTTTTAGTGAAACACCATGAGGTACAGTTGTAGATTTACAATTTTTTGTGCTTGGGTTTGATTATACAATGGTCAGATACCCATCCCTCCACCAGTGCCCATTTTCCACCACCATGGATAATATCCTCCCCACCCCCATCCCCCCATCCCCCCCCCGCCTCTGTGGCAGGGCAATCCCCTGTGTTCTCTCTCTCCTTTTGGGTGTTGTAGTCTGCAAAAGAGGCATTGAGTGGCAATCATGTTCAGTCCATGGTCTACTTTCAACATGCATCTCCCCTCCCTCCTGGGAGGGTCCTCCAAACACCCTTTATTTGGTGTTCCCTTCTCTATCTGAGCTGCCCTTTCCTCTAGAATGCCCAACTGGCCACTAAGCTATGGAGTAATCCTCCTGGTGCTGATCTCAGCTATTCTTGGGTATTAATCTCATATTTTGTTACTTTATATCCCCCAGATGAATGCAGTCTTTCTATGTCTATCCCTCTCTTTCTGACTCATTTCGCTTAGCATGATACTTTCCATGTTGTACCACTTGTATGTAAATTTCATGACTTCATCTTTTCTAACAGCTACATAGTACTCCATTGTGTAGATGTACCAAAGTTTCTTTAACCAGTCATCTGTTCTTGGGCATTCAGGTTTCTTCCAGTTTCTGGCTATTGTAAAGAGTGCTGCAATGAACAAACAAGTGCAGATGTCACTTCAACTATACATTTTTGCCTCTCTGGGATATATTCCCAGGAGTGGTATTGCTGGGTCAAATGGGAGCTCAATTTCTAATTTTTTGAGAATCGTCCATACTGTTTTCCAGAAGGGCTGAACCAGTGGACATTCCCACCAACAGTGAAGGAGTGTCCCTTTCTCGCCACATCCGCTCCAGCATCGGTTGCTTTTGTTCTTTTGAATGTGGGCCAGTCTCTGAGGTGTGAGATGGTATCTCATTGTGGTTTTGATCTGCATCTCCCTGATGATTAATGATGTAGAGCATTTTCTCATGTGCTTTTTTGCCATTCGGATTTCTTCTTTGAGAAAGTTTCTGTTCATTTCATTGCCCCATTTTTGGATGGGGTTGGATGTTTTCTTCTTGTGGAGTTTAACCAGTATTTTGTATATCCTGGATATCAACCCCTTGTCAGATGTGTATTCGGCGAATATCCTTTCCCATTCTGTAGACTGTCTTTGTATTTTGGTCACTGTTTCTTTGGAGGTGCAGAAGCTTCTTAGTTTAAGATAGTCCCATTTATCTATCTCTGTTTTCACTTGCTCGGCCAGTGGCGTGTCATCTTTGAAAATACCATTAGCCTCAATGTCATGGAGGGTTTTGCCAACTTTGTCTTCAATGTACCTTATGGTTTCTGGTCTGATGTTGAGGTCTTTAATCCATTTTGATCTAACATGCCTCTTTTTTGATCACTTACAATTTGAATTTCAATAAACTAAGCTGCAGTATTTTCTTGTAGAGAACTGAACAATAAAAAGGATGGACATATGGATTTACATAATACCACGGATGAATCCCCAAAGCATAATGCTGAGAGAAAGAAGTCTTAGCCCAACCCCAAAAATCTACTTTTATTTTTCCATTAATATGCACCCTGAGCAAGAAAATGATATGGGGAGTAGGGAAAGAGGGATCACAACAGTACTTCCCTGTAAGAGGAGTGCAGGTGGGGATGGAGCAAAGGGAACTTTCAGGTAAGGGAAGGATTTGAGGGACTTAGAATAACCATCACTTAAGACCCATGAGTGTGCCCTTAAAAGTTGTCTCTTTGTAAACAGACTCTTTGTAGAAAACATCCTATCAAAATAATCTAAAAAATATTAAGCTCCAGGTAGTGACACTTTTGCTCACATATTAAGGTAAGGTAAGGTAAGGTAAAGGCCCTCCCGTTGATCGTCGATTTGCTCGAGCGGGCCCAGTAACGTCTCCATTGGAGACTTTGTTGTTACTGTGTCTGGCATATCGAATACTCTCGGTAGCTTGCCGGGCTCTCCGAGAGGGGCGGAGGAATCAAACTGGGGTCGGCCATGTTGGCCGCGTGTAAGACGAACGCCCTACCCGCTCACATATTGAAAGGCGCAAACACAGGATGTATTTAGAAGAGACACCCACTATAAAGCATGACTGGACAGATGAATAGGCATATATGGCAGAACCGAGGTGGAGATTATATTTGGAAATTTTCAAAGTAAAAAAATCCTTGAAATTGAACACAAGACTAATATACCTCAACTGGAATGTCACCCAAATCTTGAAAAGTAGAATGATGGATAATTTGTGGCATATCCACAGGATGTGCACTCCAGAGCTATTGATGTCAGCTTAAGATATGGGGCCTAAGCAACTCTACAGTGGGTAGCATGCTTGTCTTACATATAGCCAATTTGTATTCAATTCCCAGTATCCCGTATGGTTTCCTGAGCCCCACCAGGAATAATTACTGAGCATTGCTAGGTGTGGCCTCCAAACAAAATAAGAACAAATATCCCAAGGGAAAGGTGAAAAGTCAGATTTTTTTAAATACTGTATGAACACATTTCTATAAATGTACAAGGTGAGACAAATTTGCCTTGCGCTGTTAGAAATCAAAACTTATTGTCCCAGGGGATTGTAGTGTGAGTTGGAAGGGGAGTTTTGGAGTGCTCATCTGTTTTATGTTTTTTTTTTTCAATGTTAGTGTCACGATGGTCTCTGAGAATCCATTGATCTGTACACGTACATATTTTCAGGATGACATTCCACAAAATGAAACCATGAAACTGATATGATCTCTCCCCCGTAATAGTATTATTTTGGGCTTTAAGTTAAACTTGGGGACAGTGATAGGAACATGGGAGGCCCTGGTTGTGATTCCAGTTACTGCACAGCCCCCAAGCACCACCTGCAGTGTTTCTGGTGGCCCCAAGAATCACTGGGTGTAGGTCCCCCATAACAACCATGAGGGGGGAAAAAACTCTTAATAGGTCAACTTTAAGAAGGCAGTGATTTTAGTTTTGATTTTGTGTGTGTGAGTCAGTGTTTTTTTTTTTTTTTTTCCCCTGTGGGTCAGTGTTTGAGTGTAAGTGACTGAGGATGTGACTCACTGCTCAGTCCTGCTGTCTGGAGATTACCCTTTCCCTTCTGCATGGACTGAATCCATGGACCTGACCACCTGAACATCCGCTGCTGACGTTGACCCCATTAGCCTCCATGCTAGACATGCACCCTAATCGTTATACTAATTCCTGGCCTAAAGATTTTTTTGTTTTTTATTTTTTTTAAATGTAGGAGTACTGCTATTTATAAAGCCATTGATTAAGCTGATTGAATTTGGCATGAACTCTACTTAAAAAAATTTTTTTAATTGAATATGCGTGAGATAGACCCTTACAAAGCTGTTCATAATTGGGTTTCAGTCATACAGTGTTCCAGCACCTATCCCTCCACCAGTTTACATCTCCCACCAACAATGTCCCCTGTCTCCCTACCACCATCCACTAACACCCCACCCCCTCCCATCCACAACCTCCCTCTATGGGCGGCACTTTTCTTCTTGCTCTCTCTCTCCTTTTCCTTTTGCGCATTATGGTTTGCAATCACTGTCACTGTCCTCCCATTGTTCATCGATTTGCTCGAGTGGGCCCAGTACAGATGCTAAAAGGTCATGGTATTTGTTCAGGGCATTCAGTATTTTTATTGGGAGGGTAAGGCTGGAGTAGCTTTTCAATTGGGTGACTGCTTTGGAATGTGAATGTGACAGCTGTGACTTCTGTAAGTACAGGGAGGTGGGGGAAGGTAGCGCATCCTGACCCTGAGAAAGTCTGGAGATTTCAGTCACAAAACCTGCATACCTGAATTTTCAGCAGATTATATCTTAGTGAGGTCTGTCAGAGTCAGGCCGGGGGTATGGCAGCGATTTGGGGTTGTTGGAAGCAAGTGGCAAGGCAGTGATTTTAGTCTCTCCCTCCTCCAGGACTGTACACTCAAAACCAGAACATGATCTGAAACTCTTGAACATCCAAAACATTTTTCACAAGTGAGTGATGAGACAATAAGATGTGATAATGATAGGATATGCACTATGTTTATCATCCTCTGGTGCAGAATAC